AATATATAATATATAAAATATAATATATATATACTGTATTTGTGTATATACAGTTATTTTTTATTATATTTTTATATTATATATAATAATACGTCCATATTCGATACTCGATAAAATGCTTTTTCGATTTAGGATGATTTGAATATCATCTATCAACGAAAAAACATTTATTTTATAAAGCGATTTTACTCTAAAAAAAAAAAAAAAAAGAAACACATTTTATACGTACACACAGAACGATGATAAATTAAAAAAAAAAAAAAAAGAAAAAGAAATATGTAAACGCGATCACGTTAGATATTTATTTCGAAGAAACGACGTTGTGTTATTAGATAATTATGTTCAATAAGTATTTTTTTTTTGTCTGCGTTAATAAGAAAACAATTAATAATAGAAAACTTACAATTAGAGGATTACCTGGCGAAGGTAAGGGAATACTTTGGACTTGTCGGTTTTTATTTTTGAAAGAACGATGAAAGAAAACTTTTTGTTCAGTTTACTTAACGACATTCCGTGTATTATTTAACGTGCAATAAATGTTATTTTCGTGGAGAGAAGAAAAACAAATAATGTAACAAAATTATCACCGTTGCCGAAAATATTTGGACGATAATGAAAACTAACGAAATATTTTCTAATGGCGAATCTCAAACATAACCTAAACAAACAATAAGATTTATAGGTAAGCAACGATGTCTCATTCAGACAAATCATTCCACTAATGAGTCCAAATGGCAACCTTCGTTTATGTGCGTGGTACCTTTTTCTTCTTTCTCTTTCTCTCTTTTTTCTTTTATATATATATATATCTCTAAGTATTATATTTATTCTGACAATTTGATGCACCTTTTTTTTTTTTTTTAATTTGCTACATCATCAATCGATACTCGCTTTATGATACTTCTGTTTTTTTTCTCTCTCTCTCTCTCTCTCTTTTTCTTTCCCTTTTTCTGTTTCTCTCCCTTTGTTAAAATATTTGTAAGAAACGATACGTACGATCGCGTAATCGTTAAATGAACTTTGAAACATTCCCAAATATCATTTAGAAAACCTAGGAAAAAAAAAAAACAAACAAATAAAAAAGAAAACGTACGAAATTGTGAAAATACAAAAATAGGAAGTTTCTGATAAATAAAAAGTATAATGATAAGTTTTGAATATAAAAGAAGATTCTTCTTTTTCTTCTTAGATCATCGCCTAAATGCCATAATTAGTACCTGCTCTGCTATCATCATCCACTGTTAAGTTTTAATTATATTTCTATAAACATAAAAAAAGAAAAAAAAAACAAACCCAAATCATACGAAATCATTCAGAAATTATTCCAATTCAAAATTCCTTGATCATTCAATAATCAGCACCACCTGACATGAAATAATTAAATTACCTGTAGAAATATACATTCTCCGATGTTAAGTACAATTTCTTCTATTACCAAAATTTTATAATAACATTTTTCAAAACAATTAACGAAACAAATAACGATAGAAATCATTAAAAATGCAGAATTAATATTATTTTATTTAGTTATACCTCTTTTATACTTCTCATAATTGTAAACATTCATTTAATTCTTAATCCCGAACTTGTAAGAGACAGTGTGCAGGTACAATTGTCCCGGCCTCAAAACACTATTTGGAAAGTTGGGCTAAAAACAACAAATTATATTTTATAAAATACAAATTGCATTTGATAATAATTCAATAATATGGATAACATATTTCGAATAGTTTTATGTAAAAAAAAAAAAAAAATACAATAACTCACGTGATTAACAGCGTCAGGATAATTTTGTGTTTCCAAACAGAGAGCACCGTGTCGGAAATAATGTTTACCATTTTTGCCAAGTATACCGGTGGTATTAGAAGCAGGTAAAGAATTGGCTGTATATAATTGAACTCCTGGTTGATTCGAGACAACTGTCATGTGTCTACCTGAACTGGGATGATGGACTTCCGCAACTAATCTATTTTTATTGCCATTATCTTTATTTTCGGGTAAACAGAAATTGTAATCGTATCCTCCACCTGGTACTTTATCAATGACATCGCCAAGAACCGTAGGATTTCTAAGATCCATGATACTGTTCTTGACTGACCTAATTTCTCCTGTAGGAATACTGTCCGCATCGGTAACAGTCCAACGATCAGCGTTAAGAACAATTCGATGTTTGTATAATTCTTCTGCATTTGTTCCCTAAAAAAAGAAATAATTTATTGAACGCTTAATCAAAAAAAATAATTTTTTAATTTAATAAAACTAAATGGACATTTAAAATATATAATAATAATAATAAGCACGTACATGACCGGCAAGATTGAAATACGCGTGATTAGTTAAATTAATTGGTGTCGGTTTAGTAGTAAAAGTTTTCATTTCAATCGATAATTCTCCATCATTCGACAATGTAAATGTTGCCGATGCTATCACAGCACCAGGATAACCTTCGTCCCCATCCTCGCTTAACAGAGTCATTATTACAGCCCCATTTTCGATGGTAGCGTTCCATACTTTAAAACTCCAACCCTTGATACCACCGTGAAGACTATTCTCTCCAATATTTCTCGATACTTGATATTTTTGTCCGTCGATAACGAAACTACCCTTAGCGATACGATTTGCCACTCTTCCAACGGTTGCACCAAAGTACGGATTATCGGAAGATAAATAACCTGTGGGAATAAAAAAAAAACTTACAGTTATAAATTGGATTCTTAATTATCTTAAGAAAAGAATTTAATCGAATGATAATAAAAAAGAAAACAAATAACATTGATAAATGTACCAGAGATATCATCGAAACCAAGAAGGATGTCCTCAACATTGCCATGTTTGTCCGGTAATCTGATACCAGTTATTGTTGCACCGTATGTAATGATATCTACTTCTTGGCCAGCATTATTTTTTAACGTATATTTATCCACCGGTTTTCCATTAGCCGATCCCCAACTCTGAACCGTTATTAACTTGATTGTCTTTGACTTACTCTCGGCCATTGCAAATCTACACAAGTATATTGAATCAATTTAAAAATCAACATTTGACCATTGCAGCAAATTTATATAATAAATAATTTAATTATAGGATAAATATTGTTAAAAAATAATAAAAACTAATGTGAAACACTTTGACGATGATGAATAATTGTGATAAAATAACGGAATATTATAATATGATAGATGTTATCGATTTATCGTTATAAATCAACCGTATTTCTATTGAATGTTAGTGAAGGTCATACGATAAGAAAAAGTACAACTCTGAACACAAAAGCGAATTGTTAATTGCAAGATAACAACGTAGTTTAAGTATCGTTTGGCACGCACATTACTAGACTTTAAAATTCGATAGATCAATATCAATTTCAATTTTATTAAAGATACTTATTACTTAAACACTTTTAATTTGTTCTCAATGAAATTAAGAGACGTCGTATTAATTCTTTAGTGATAATTTTGAATGACTATAGTTGCACATGAAATGGTATCAAAGATAAGAGGTCTATCACAACACATTAAAATCTTTTTAAGATTAATTGAACGTTTCCCTCGTAATGATAACTAGCGACATCTGTTTTTATATACAAAATATTCATTATTTTATCAAATGTTCGATTAATTATACGTAAATATTATTCGTATTAATTATATATTAATTATTTAATTATATTTTTAAATAAGTTGTACTGGTTTTTTTTTTAAATTTTTATATAGTACCACGTTTAAACGCCAGATGGTTCCACCAGTCTATTTTTGAAGATGTAACATATATAGGGTGTACTAATAGTAATTGATGCTCATGTAATTATATTTTACGTTGGGCTACGTAATGTAGAACGCAATACAACATTTAAATTATTATTTACATGACTTAACACATTTTTTATTTTATCTATTTATTTTTTGTTCTTTTTTCGAACATAAAAAAGATATTATTCACATTTATGGCTACGATAAATGTATTAAAATATATCTTACGCAGTTAGTTGCATGAGCAACAAAAAGTTGATATGACGAATTTTAGCCATAATAAACAATTAAATCACTAATTAAAAATAATAATTAATCTTATTATATAGATTAATATTAATCTTTAAAAACGCAATAAAAAAAAAAAAATAACTTCACGTGAACATCACAAGATAACGTAAACTAGAAGACTGAATGTGAAAGGAAGCTTTATTTTTCATGGACATTACTTGGACAATTGGAAATCCATAAACAGTTAAGGTCATTTCGATAACATAAAAGTAATGTGTTTTAAAAATGACAACTCTTATTAATTAATATAGGTATATCTATAATAATTGATAGTTTATAGAAAAAGAAAGTGACTTTGACTAATCTGCGGGATTTTCAAATTACGAATTTTGTCTTATCACAAATAATACATATATGTATATTTTTTAAAAACATCTTGAACAAAATGTATATATTATAGATTACGAATATATAAGTTATGGAAATGTTTAAAATTTTGACGCTTTCGTAAATAAAAAATATATTACTAACCTTAGTAAGCGTTATTTGCAATTAGCAATGTGCGTTAGTCAGTACTACGTGATTCATTAAAAATTATCAATATTTTTTGTCTTCATTAAATTTATTAGTATTATTCTTAGATCATTAATTAATTCTTTTTTTTTTTGTTTTTTCAATTTATTTCTAACAGTAGTTATTTTGTATTTTTTTTTTTTTTTATCTTAACACCCATGATATAATCGATTATGTAATTAATTTATTTTTTAAAAAAAGGAGGCAAATTTGAATGCAATAATTCATTGGAGTTTGTTGTTTACAAATGAGTGAAATATTGTTTGACTAACTTTTCAAATAATAAACTTCATTTAAAATAGATTTGTTAGAGATATGTTTAAATGTTTACTTTGTAATAATTATTGCATATGGATTAAAGTGTTAAAAACATTAATCACATGACGAATAAATTCTAATTAAATTTACGTATTTATATCCAAAATGAAATCGCCTCGACTGTGACGTCTGAAAATACTATAAACTGGTTTCTAAATACATTGAAGGTTGCAGCGTAAATAGGAAATATTAGAAATTTCTGCAAAACAAGGACAAATTTATATTAGTGTCAACGTGATACTTTTAACCATTTATTTTATTTTTGTTTCTTCTTTTTGTTATTTAATAAGTTAATTACAGAAAACATATTTAATCATTTATATCGACACAGTTTATTTTATACTTATCGCAAAACTGTTCAGTTTGCAGAATTATATTTAATTTAACAGAATGAAAGGTTGATATATTTTGAGTGTTACTTACTGATAAGCAACAGCACAGATGTTTCGTAATGGAAAGTTTAATAAGGCTAACAAAATTTTCTTTTTCAGATAGATAAATGGATACTTTTTAAATTGTAACTTTTTTATACATAGAACGTTACAACGTAAAACAATTGAACGATTAACACAATAGAAAAAAGTACTTTTTCAATATCAAACTTATAATTGTAAATATAATTAATTAACACTATCACGAGTTAAAACTTCAACGAATGGCAATTCCACGAACAGAATATTTACATAAAAACATATGTAAATTTACTCTTTTCTTATGACTCATTCCAACAATTCGCATGTATTTTTCTCGTATTTGTCACAACAAAAAAAATCTTTCTCTGTTACATGAAATAAGTATCTAAATCTCGATAATGTTATAGAGATTTTAATAATACCGATATTGCTCTTATCATTATTCAAATACTATAATATCATAAAAAATATTTATACTTATGATTATAAAGAAGACAAATACGTCAGACATTTTATTAGGATATTTGAAATAAACATATTTGTTCGTTAAATAATTATCTTTTTTTTTAATTAAGTTTTCATAATTAACGAATTTATTAGGTAAATTATTTCAAGTGTGTATATATATATATATATATGTAACATTTACTATACATAATCTGATAATTATCATAAATGATCTACGTATTACAATCGTCATTTTGAAACTTTTGCGACCTATAATTTATTTCTATAATTGGAAAGATGTAGGAAATAAATGGAAAACGTAAAATCTAATGACATATGTTATGCATGCTGATAACAAGCATAGAAAAAGGTTGCTCTATGCAATTTAATTCAAACAATTTTATGTTAGAAAACTTACGTCAGTTTTCTACTTCAACTAGACATTCTTTTAAAACTATAGTATATCTATACACGTAATAACAAGATAAGATCCTATCTATCATAATGATCACTTAAAACGATAATACGCAGATGTAAGAAAATCTTGAAGATTTTATACGTGACTTCTAAGAAAACGACCTAATAAACTCATAAAATGAAAATGAATTAGATTTCATATATGTGGGTGTGTATGTGTGTGTGTGTGTGTGTAACGTTAACTTTTGTACAAATCCGTAACGAGCCACGTAGTCTCTCACGTAGTGAGTTTAATTTATTACAAATGAGACTGCATTAACGTTTCCGCAGTTAGAGAATTCAGAAAAATTTTATCTACGCCTCCTACCATTTTAATCTTAATCAAACGTGCTCCGATTTTCTAATACAAACCTATCAAAGATACTATACTATATTAATACAATATTCTTCAATACTTGGATGTACAAATATTTCTAATTAATAAAATTACAAATGTATAATATATTTGATTTCTGAAAGATGATATGAGTTTATTATCAAGTAAAAAATTTGGAAAATCTCTGTTATACTATAAACAAAATTTTTATAGTATAATATATTTCAATTTATTAATACGTAATTATAAATTTTACATTCGTTTAATAATCATTTTTAACCATAAACGTTCTAATATCTTAAAACACCGATAAAACCGCAAAGTATAATATAAAGATTAGTAAGCACGTTCTTTATGAATGCAGGTAGACTGCAATGCGACAATAAAACATGATGAATGTTGAATTCTTTTCCTCACCGTTGTATACAATAATAATACGAAAAGCAAAATAATGTGGGTGGAATAATAGAACCGTTTAATCACAGGAAGATAACAAAAATACATGACACATGCATGTATCTATACATATAATTACACGTTTCTAATATTAAAAAAAAATTCTTCTGAAAGTTTCCTCAAGTATTTACTTCGATTGATATTTTGTTTGTTTCAATTTTTTTCCATTGAAACTACATGCCTATACATTGTTTTTGTTGCAAACAATGATTATCTCACAGATATTTATCTTGAAGAGATAATAAAAGAGAAAGAATTTATTTAATTGGAAGAAAACAATGACCCATTTATATGTAATTAATTTTTTTCACAGTTTACAAGACTGCATTGAGAGATAGGTAGGTAATCCAAGTTAGTGAAGTATTATTTACAATCGAAGGTCATGTGCAAATGTGAACTCTTATGTTAATAGTTGGTAGTACCAACAGCAGCAATAACAACAACAACATAATAATAACAATAACAATAACAACATGAGTATTATAGGTGCATTTCCTTTGACTCTACTATAATTTACTATACTAACTTGCATGTATTCAATTGTGATGTTTATTTAGTCTGTTATATTCGTTGTGTTTAACCTACAAAAAGCAACGTGATATTTTTTTTCCTATTTATCTGAAAGATGATTGGTCAATACTGTACTGGTACCATTCTCATTGGCAGATTGCCACGTGCAAACAAACATAATAAAATGACTATACAGTGGTTCTTTACATCAGCAGACTTTCACGATCACCCCACCCTTAAGACTGTCCTCGAGAACCTGACTAAAACTGACACATACAGCTCATTCTAATGCGTGAGCAGTATCATATTCGTTTCAACTTCTTTAGAAGATAGACGTGTTTTGATTGAGCTCCACTTACTTTTCATTTATTATCCAAACCAGAGATAATATTTTGTTAGATTTGAGAAAATTAATAATACTCATTTTTCTTTCTCTAACATTCTTGTTTCTCTTATCATTAAATTTTCCTTTTCCATTGTTTTATTCCCACCTATTACTCACATTGTTATCATTAAACTTTAAGATAACAAAAACAATACCTTTACCACTTATTTCTCACCAGTAAGAAAACACATAGTGGTTGAAAACTTTCAACGCCATTTTAAAGTAACAAGAAAGTTTTAAAAATAAGCAAAAAAAGAAGTTAGATCAACACACCGGGTATCTACAATACTTCTTCATTTGCACGTTATTTTTGTGATTGTTTTCTTTTCCTTTAGTCAATCCACTGAAGAAAAGGAACAAACAGTGTTAATAAACTTGATCCATAAAGATTTTCTTTGTCGAAACATTACAGCAGGCATATAATTTGGTTGAAACTACGATGGGCGTAGAAAATAAGGTGCGTATACAAAAATGGACACGTGCAACATACTATTCCAAATTTATTATCTTATCTAGAAGTTGGGCTTCTTTATAATTGTGAACGTTGTTTTAATACTCAAAAATTTGTCGCGATATTTATACTTTATTCCATTATTTCGAATAGTTTCCCGTTGTACGGTACACGTCATTTTTTTCTAATCTACCGTAAAATAAATCTGAGTAAGCAAAAAAATATTCCAGACGTTACTATACTTGTACTATACACTAGGAATCTGACCAATAACTTTCGAGATTTAGAACATTATATTCAATGCTTATAACTTCTTTGTGTTTCATACTTTTTTTTTTTTTAGGTTAGAAAATCATTGTTAAAATTAATTACAGAAATATTATTTATAATAATCATATTTTTGTGATTGTTTATTCTTGGCAAGAAAATGGAAATAAATTTATTTAAAAAAAAAAAAAAAGAAACAAAGACTTTTATAATGAAAATTAAAAAATTCTCATCTTTTTTTAAAGTTATTTTTTATAATATCTTTTTAAATATATTTTTTAATAATAAAATTGTTAAATTTATTTATTGTTATCAAGTGCAAAGTTTCTACTTAGTTCGTCGTGTTTTTGATAGGTGGCGAGTAGTGGCGCCATTTTTGAATTATTTCAAAATCGATTGATGACATATTAGATTATAGTAAAAACAGGGTTGAATCATTGGAAAAACTAAAACATAAATTATAGTTTCTTTTAACGATAAATTTCGGTATAACTTGGTTATCAATAAAAGTTAATGCGAAAAGTGTATTACAAAGTAAAATAATATTTAAATATAAAGAAAAATGATTAGATATAGATACTTGGAAATGGAACATCGATCGGTACGATGCGCAGGCCTACGATCATACATATGTGCAATATTCGTAGAAGACAAGGGACTAGGGTTACAAAAATGTTTCTAATAAAAATAATGGTGGAAAAATAATTAAATAAAAATATGTTTGTTTTTTTTTAAAAGAACTTCTTCAATCGTTAAAGGTATTACTTTATCCATTAAAAACTAAAAACGCAAATCTCGAATAGGAATGTGTAAAAGTATTATTTGTTTCCACTTGCAGAGTGTATTGTGTCTACGATTAGTATCTAATTAATGGATAAAAATCTAGAAAATATAATAGTGTATATTGTGGATCGCGTCATCCTCTTCTTCCTTCTCTTCTTCGTTGTACTTGGAAATTAAACGTCGATGAAACGATCAGGAGTAACGTCGAGGAGGAATCTGCGTCATTTGCAGGATACGAAGGCGTGTCTCTTCGTCTCTTCCTCTACTACTTCTAATAATTCCTATTTGTAATAAAAGCGCGCCATCGTTTTAAAATAATCATACAAAAAAAAAAAAATAAACAAGAAAAAAAAAAGACAAATTTTAAATCGAGACATAGGATCAAGTGATAGGAAAATTAAGAAAAAAAAAAACAATAAAATAAAATATCTTTGAACTACTGTTTTCAATCAGCAGGTTCGATATATAGAATAATAATTAAGGTTATGGCACGTAACAAAATGCATTGTGTTCTATTCTCACATTTTTATAATTCTTCGTGTTAGGCTAATTTGCAAAGCACTGTTTCTTTTTTCTTTACGCTTTTCTCTTTAAATATTTTGTATATGATAAGATATAATCGTTTGCACAAAATATTTCACTTATGTTTAATAATTGTTTACAATGCACTAATGTATTATTTTGGTATTTTTTTCTGTTCGTTTCTCTCATACAGATGTCAGGAAAAAATCTCGAGATGAGGGAAACAGCTGCACGTATCTGTCGGGATTATCTTCATGGTGTTTGGAAACGTGTTACTGCGGAGAACATTACCTTAAAACGTATCAGGTTAATAGATCTTTGATTATTTTACAATACCTATAATTGTGAACCTAATGCAGCGTTTCTAAACTTTTTCATCATACACCCTCAGTGTTTTTGATATGCAGTGTTTAATGAACTTGAATAAACTGAAAAATCATTGTTTATTATTTTAAAAAGATACACCTGTGTTAACACGTCATTATCGCTAAAACATTCTCCACAAATTTGCTAATTATTATATTTTGTATAAATTAATGAGCTTTTGTCAATTCAACGCAAGATTGTTATCATCACTTTGCAGCTAATTAAATGTAGGTTGAGAAACACTGTGCTATAAGAGATTTGTAGTTAAAATAGTTTTATATAAATAATTATTGATTATTATTGATTATCATTATTTTCTTTCTTTTTTTTAGCGGAGGCCTGAGTAATTGGCTTTACAATGTTCAGCTGCCAGACGGTGCTGTACCAATACGCGGTGAACCGCGTCAAGTTTTATTACGATTGTACGGTCAAGTACATGGGGAAAGGGCGTTGGAGGGACTAATCACCGAATCCGTCATCTTCACGCTACTTTCAGAAAGGCGACTTGGCCCTAAATTGCACGGTATATTTCCCGGTGGACGTATCGAAGAATATATACCAGCTAGACCTTTGTTAACCAAAGAATTGTCCGATCCAACCTTGAGCACAATGATAGGTGAAAAAATGGGACAAATACATATGATGCAAGTACCGATCAGTAAAGAACCTACTTGGTTATGGGATACCATGGCTAAATGGCTTGCCACAGCAACAGATATTTTAGAAACTGTTGATGAAGTAGATCCGCGTCAACACGACAACGTTTATACTTTGAGATCATTCGATCTCGAGACGGAAATCAATTGGTTCAGGTTAATATATATTTTATTTTTAATTATTAATTAATTAGTTGTACGGTCAAGTACATGGGGAAAGGGTGTTGAAGGGTGTTGACAACTTAACTATCCAATAAAAGTTCGTTTATTTCCATTTTTTAGAGACCTTGTTGCTCGAGGAAAATATCCAGTAGTATTTTGTCACAACGATATGCAAGAGGGTAATATCCTTCTACGACAAAACTCGCGGAAGACCGAGTTAGTTGTTATCGACTTTGAATATTGTTCCTACAACTACAGAGGCTTCGATATCGCCAATCATTTCATCGAATGGCAGTACGATTACACGGAAGGGAATTATCCATTCTTCCACGAACGAACTGGTTGTGGGCCTACTCAAGAGCAGAAGGTAAGTTAGCGGTATACTGGGGAAGGAAGGGTCGCAAAAATTAGATAAACAAAACAATTGGTAAGGCTTTCATCAGCTTTTTTCCACCCACCTCTCCCCCTATTACTTATTTCTTCTTATTTTCTTTTTTTGCTTTTTATCCGTTAGAGGAGAGCACTTCCTCCTACCGTTCATATATACATATATATACATAGATTAAAACAAATGCACAACTAATATTGTTTTGCATTAGTTTATATATATTTTATCATCGTTATTCCGCGTACAAAAAAGAAAGTAACGTTTAAGATATCGTATCGTATAACTCGCACTTGTTTCAAAGTACGTCTCTTGTTTTTCTTATATCTTTGTTATTTTTCTTTATTATTATTATTATTATTATTATTATTATTATTATCGTTACGTGTTAAATTGTAAGACGATAATGATTATATTAGTTATTTATCAATTTATATCAAATGCAATTGTAATCCTTTTTTATTTGTTATTTCCCCTGTCTTCTTTCTCTCTCTCTCTCTCTCTCTCTCTCTCTCTCTCTCTCTCTCTAATTGCGATAAACGAGATACGTACCAAACAACATTTGTGCGAGAAGCACGCGCGTGTTGTTAGAGTGTTAGTTAGCCCATTTGTTGTATTAGTACTATTTGCGAGGAGGGTGACACCTTGGCGTGTGTTGCGTGTGTATGTATTAGTTTCACAGGACTGCAATTGACGGATTGAGAGACAGGATCGATGAGCACATGCTATCGGGATAAATTGGCCGGCATATGAATCTTTGCCACTACGACGTATCCTGACTCGTACTCTCCAAGTTATGGAACCAGAACCACCTGTGTGCCATCTACCCATGGCGAACAGCACACCCTCCCACATCTGCTCGTCTACGAACCTAGAGTACTTCTACACGCACTCACGATAGTTGATCCGTAATCTTCGTAGATTCTCGATTCAACAAACCAAGAAAAGGCTGTGTGTGTCCTTCGTTTCTGTCATTTTTTTTTCTATTTTTTTATTATTATTATTGTTGTTATTATTAAATTCTTTTTGTTGTTGTTCTTTTGAACGACTATTACACAAATTATTGAGTAACATTATTTTATTTTGACTCAATAATTTTATCTGTTTTTTTTTTTTTTTTAATTACAATAACAAATCAAAGTATTATATTTCTATGTGATTAAAAACACTCGAGAGTGTTTGTTTACAAGGAAAGATAATTACTGAATCATATTTTTATAATATAATATTTTTTAATTAACAAAGGAGACACGTTCTGTATTTAATAAGAATATTTGAATTATGTTATACGCGATAAAAAAAAAAATGCATTATGTATAAACAAACTCACACAAACACACACACACGTATCTATATATTTATATACACATATATATATATATAATAGAAAACTTAAAGGTCTCCAAATTTATATATATATAAATTATTTTATAGTTAAACATACCTTTATCATATTATCATTTTCTTTAAAAGCAAAATATTTGTTTAAAATTAATATTTATTGTTAAATTATAGAGGCATGTTTAACCTTCATGCATATTAAATATTAGATTAATGTATTACATAATCAATTTGTCGTTATGACAAATTTAGTTAGCATACTACATGTTCAATTTGTTTGCTATCATTAAAATAGATAAATAATTGATAAAAAAATTTGAACATTCATATATACATATATATATATTTGAATATGTATTAAATTCGTGTTAATACTAATCGTCATATTCTCTCTCCCGACAGCTCAATTTTATCAAGAGTTACTTGAGAACAGTCCAGAAAGAATCTCAGACGGAAGAAGAACGTATTATGATGGAAATTAAAATATTTTCTTTAGCCAGTCATCTGTTTTGGGGTCTCTGGAGTATTGTCAATGCCAAATTATCTGAAATACCATTTGGATATTGGGTAATTATTATTATCTTATATCATAAGATAAAAAATCATTGTATACACAGTTACATATTTCATTTATTTAATCTAATAATATTTGAATTATTTGTAGGATTATGCGGTATGCAGGCTAAAGAATTATCAATGTTTAAAAGAAAAATTTGTAATGTCAGAACAATCAACGTTGCACGACATTAACAGGAGAAAAGTAACCGACACCGATTGAAATAATAATAAAATAATCATTATTATCATCAACGAGTGAAACTCTCTCCTCCCTTAAATGGGAAATTTCATTTATTTTTATCAGCCTTAGACGTTAATGATAAAAAAAAAAACAAACAAACATCAACATTAAAACAAAAACATGTATAAAAAAGTATTAATAATGGCTGATAATAGTATTATTAGAAAAGAATTTGGAAATATCATTGGTAGAAATGATCGACATACAACTAAGGACGCGAATCTTTCCATTTTGACATATTTTTCATATAAAATAAAAAATAAAAACAAAACATAAATAGGAGAAAGAATTTACGATGGAAAGATGTGATATAGAAATAAATAAATCGCTAGATATTGTAATCTTTTTGAGAAAAGATTTATTAAGGGGAGTATTTAGAATGTGATCAAAAGAGGAATAGAACAAAATTCACTCTTACGAGTTGTAAGAAACGAAGAAAGATTGTGTAATAGTTGAAGAATAGTAAAAGTTTATGATAGAAATATATTTCTATCACAAGTGTGCAGAAAAAAAAAGGGTCATCACAAATATTTGATAAATATGTGTCTTAATTGTTTACAATGTGAAAGTGAACTTGCCTGCAATTAATTGCACTGTACTTAATCGAACTTAGATAATACACGAATTTACGTTTATTTTTACATAAAATAAAAACAAGAAGAAGAAGAAGAAGAAGAAGAAGATAAAAAAAAAAGATATCACATTTTGCACGCTTAAAGTATAGAATCTGGTACGGATAGAGCTTCATTTATGATTCTCATATAATTAATAAAATCTCTGTAAATATTTCAATTAAATTCAAACAGCAATATTATCGTCTCTAACACAATAATCTGTGTATTAATAAATTATCGATATTTTACATTAGATTCTGTAAAGAAAGAAATAGAGAGAAAAAAAAAAAGAGAAGGATAGAGAAGTCTGTAAAATTATCATCATTGACAAAAAAATTATTTATAATATAAAAGCAATTTGGTAGAAGTTAAGTTGAGTAGCAAATGATCTAATTAACGATGCACAAAGAAGAAATATTCGTGTTGCTTAATTAGGGATATTATTAATTATTAAATATATTTGTATAAATGAATATTAAGCGATAAACAAAAAAATCATAAATCATTATTTTTATCATTGATTAATTATCGTTGATTATCATCGCGAGAAACGAGGATGATAAATGTCCATTTGTAAATTTGTTTACTGCTCTCTACTACCAGTGTTGTATATTGCTTTATATTTTTCCGTAGGATCAGATAATATGTCGCATTTTTATTGTACAAATAAATATATATATATATACATATATATAGGGACAGTATAATTTAAATAATAAAAAAGATTCTTTAAACAAAAATATTTGAATCTTATATATTGTAAATATATACACGTATATATATATATATATAATACATATATATTTTTAAATAAAGATGCTCTTTAAAAATGTTCTGATCACTTTATTATATACGTAATACTAATTAAATATATTTTTATTGATTTTATTAACATCTTTCAAAGAAATAAATCTAATTTGTGCGTTTGTCAAATGAAATGCAATCGTTTATAATTTAAATATTTGAAATAATAGAAATTTCAGGAACATTATTAAATGGCAAATAAAATAAATAATACTTTATTATATGTGTATAGAAATATATATATATATATATTTTTTCTCATTTTATTCGATCAATAATCGTGTTTTTAAATTTTCTAATATTTCGGTCATTTTATTCTCTAACGCGTTGCGACGTTTTATTTCTTCTTTCTTATCCTGTAACAAAAGATAATTATTTATATAACAAATAGAAAAAAATAATTCATTGAAAATTACGATCTATGATATTCTATATATAAACTGTGTTACAGATGGGGAAAAAACAATGTCAATAATAATAATAATACCTTTATAATAATATAACAATTTTTAAATTTATTTAAAACAATCTATAATCATTTTATACAACGTAACATAATAATTATAATATGTTCAACATTAAACAAACAAATATTATGAGCGATCAAAAGAAAGCATTAAGTTTATTATATTAATTTTTATTTTAACATATATATCTCATTTATCTAGATTACAATAAAACCCATAAATGATCTACAACATTATTTGTTTATCAAGGTAAAACGGATTGCTGATAAATTTCGTAGTGCGTTGGTACAGGTGTTGTAAAGTATCCTAAATTATTAATATTTTCTTGATAAACAATCGTACGACGAATAGGAGGTGTAACAGTTGAACGATACAAATTTTCTTTCAAACGATCACGAGTTTGAATAGGAACAATCACATTAGTTTTTTTCGTATTATCAAAAATAAAATCAAACGGTGCCGGCCATATTTGAACTTCTTTAGTTTCACCTTCGTGTAATTTTTTTGCAATCAATCTTTCCGGGAGACCAATTTTCGGTGTTAAATCTTCGATTTTTGGTTTTTTTCTTGGTAATCTTTTCTCGTTGATGATATTTCTTGTATGATTAGCTTTCTTGATTTTTTCGGAATGAAAACGACGTGCTCTAGCTTCTTCAATTTCGTCTGGCCCATTAACATAACGAATTGGTAAAATGTAAGGCGTGTGTTTGACAATTGCAAAGTCATCAAACGTTTTATTTTTTATCAGATCATTATTATTATTATTATTATTATTACGAATGTTACTTACCTTTTTAGATATCAATTCGTTCGAATTAATTTTTTTAGTTTTATCTACGAACAAATTAGACTCGCTATCCTCAATTTGATCATTTGTATTCATAGTAGTTTCATCGTATCGATCATTTTCATTATTTGAATTATCCGACTCATTAACATTTTCTAATTCCGATTTATCTGTAGTTTCTAAATTAAATTCTTCATATTTATTTTCCAAAGGTGCTACAGCATACTCTTCACGAATTCGTTTGTAAGGATCTTCGTTGTTCCGTTCAAGTTTTATCAACTCGTATCGTTCCACAGATTTTTCTTCAGATTCATTGACCATTTCAGAATTTTTATCAGAATTCTCATCATTATTTTGTTCATTCTTATTTTTATCAAAATAATTAGCTATCCTTTCATCCACCAAAGCTCGATTATCCAAAATTTCACCATAACTGTCACGAAGTTGTTGGGGTGGTTTATCTTGTTCATAATAATCACTTATAGGTAATGGTTCTTTGATATTTTCTTCCCTTTCATAATTCCTATAAGAATCATTCTCATAATCCTTGTAATTTCCGGTATTTTGTAATCGTTGTTTTCCATTCGCAGGACCTCCTCTTGGATATCCTGGATGTTCTTCGTATCGTTCACCTGAACTTTCCGATTCTTCGTCGTTACTTTCATATTTTTCTTCTTTAATATTTTCCGGATGTTCTTCTTCTTCTTCTTCTTCTTCTTTTTCACGATTTTTCGATTGTTCTTCTTGCTCAGAATGATCCTCTTCCTGATAATTATGATTTTGTTGTTTTTCTTCTTCTTCATCTTCTTCCTCTTCTTCTTTTTGTGATTTTATTTCTTCCTGTTTAGAATTATTTTCTCGTTGATAACTATGATTTCGTTCCCTATCACGTTCCTTCAATCTTTCAGCATATTCTTCCTGTTGACGTTCCAATTGAGCAATCCTTGCTTCGTGCAACTTTTTCCAATATGGTTCATCGATATAAATATTGTGTTGAAATTTACTTTCCGGTCTGGCAACATCCTTCTCATTTTGAATTTCTTTATTTTCGACGCTATAATTTTCAATATTCTCATTTTTCCTATAAACAATTTCTTGTTCCTTTTTACGTGGCACATTGATAATATTCATTTTATTAGGAGTATTGTTAATCATCGTTGAAGATATTGGTGGTGGAAGATTAGGTGCTATTGGTAAAGGGATTTTGACTAAAAAAGGAGTCAACAATGGTGGCCTATATTTTAATGAATCCCTTATATCAAATGATGACATTGTACTGAAAGATGCTGGAGTTGTTGATACGAGTGAAGCCATCGATGATGGTTGTGGTGGTGGTGGTGGTGATGGTGATGGGGATGATGATGCAGCTGTTTGACCACCATGAAACATTCTTTCATATTGTTGCAAATGTCCAATCACGTCTGATCTATTCCCAAAATTAACAACACCTGTAAATCTTATTGTCTCTCTTTGCCTTGGTTGTGCTGGAGTTGTTGACATCATTGGCATCATTTGAGATGACGAAGTTTGCTGCATTGGTGGTTGCATAGATGGTTGCATCTGTGGTTGCATTGGTGATTGCATTGGTGGTTGCATAGGTTGTTGCATAAGTGGTTGCATTGGTGGTTGCATAGAAGGACTCTGATTATTACCAGATGCACCTGCATTATTGTCAGTTCCAGTTGGATTAGGAAGAGATGACAATTGTATTGGGGCCACGTTATATCCAAAAATTTGTGCCAATCCTGATAAAATCAAACCCAATGCACGTTTGTCACGATACTTGTCGGTGATGTTTAAATGTTCGCTGTTATTGTCGATATTTTTGATGGAAGATAATTCTTGTATGGAAAGGTTCCTGTAATCGACGCCATTTGCATGTACAAAATAGAATAAGAAGAGTATACTGAATGATCCTTTGAGTTTCATCGTTAAAAATTAATTTTTAACTCTCACACATCAAACAACATGGAACAATGTTTCTTTGAATATTTTTAATAGAATTTTTTTGTCGAAAAAAAAAAAATTAATTTCACTCACACGAATTTGTTTTTGTTTTGTTCTTTAAAATGAGTACAAAGTTTTAACGAAATACAAATACTTTTAATGAAGATTAATAATATATTAATGTTCACGAGTCAACGTGATTCTTCGAACTGAGAAGTAGAAGGTTTTATTGTTATTATAGTGAGGATAAATTTTTGCATAATATCGGAAAGAAATGTCGAGAGAGTTTCTCTTCAATTACACGCATCCACCACTTGTTGATTTGCGACAACTGAAGCGGCAAGTTTGTTACTTGTACTACGTAGAAAATGAAACTTATAAGAAGACTGACGAACTGATACTATTGATTCTACTAAATAACATAAAATCTTATGGATCACGGTTGACTTAACAAATGAACGTGTTCTTTTTTTATTTTTTTTTTAATTTTATTACATTTTATTCCATGTTGAAAACTCGTTAAATCCAATAACGCGAAACATATCCTAGAAGAATTTTTTGGTTGGTTGAAAGAAACAACGAACGAATGTTCTACTGAATAGAAACTTTCCCCTTTTTAGGACAATCTTTTAAACTATGATTCGATATATTATTAATAATTTAGATATTATTTAATGACTCGTGTTTTATACAAATTAGAAATTCGTTTAATTGTTTTTTGTTCATTTTGATTGAGTGAAAGTAATAATATTTATTAAAACTTTATTAATATATTATTATAAATTTATATTATATATATTGCCTATTATTATTATTATTATTAATTATTTAATATAATTTTATAATATAAATTATATAATATTAATATAATATATTATATAATATAAATATAATATATTAATTTATATCTAATATAAATATTATATATTAAATATAAAAAAATATAATTAAATATATTATTATTAATATAATTAATATATAATATAATATTTATATTATTTAATAAAAATTATAGAAAAAAAGCAACAACAATTATACAAAATTACAAAAAAAATAAATGAACACATAACTAAACAAAAATTATATTCCTAAATTAATTAATTAAAAAAAAAAAAAAAAACAATGACAAAACTTGATAACAGTCAGATACTTCCGTTTCTATAAGTTACATCATTTATCGTGTAATAATGCAAATAAAAAAGAAAAACAGAAAGGAAGAGACCTTTCATGATATTCTTGGGAAATGATTTTAATCATTGGTTCATCGATTCGAAACGTACGAATTGTCTTGGTCTTTATTTTTTGAACGATGATAAATGTTGGTATATCTTGTGAGAAGGAATTACATTGAATCAAAGAAAAGACTTTACCTTCCGATTCGACTTTCGTAAGCACCGGAGCTATTTAACTTATTCCCAAGGAGGAGAAAGTTTTCGCCATTGGCACTGTTGTGTTGTTTACTTGTGTGTGGAGATATCAGTTTCCTAATCCAGTACTACAAAACCTCCCGGAATCAAAGAAGGAAGGAACAAAAACTAGCTCTCTAATCAGACAAGACAGTAACTTCAATATCGTAGAAAAAAAAGAAAAAAATGAAGTCAATATCCATCGACATTATAGTTTTAATTCTATTCATTTTCTATAATAAAACAAAAATTCAATTTATTAAATTTTACAACAACAAAAGCAACAATTTTTGAATGATATTATTTTTTATAATAATTGATAATATATTGGGATATATATGTTTTCTTTTTTAATTAAAGATCAAGTCGTATTATCGACAAGTATGGGTTTTTGTATTTGTAAAACAAGACACCGGTAGACACTGTGTAGACCAATTGAATTCCGCGTTCAGGTTCTCTCCTTAAATCGAATTCGTGCAAAATGGAACAGTATTTGGTATACGTGATTACGTAGTTAAACAATTCTCATGGTAGGACCAGTTTTACTAACCATAAGTTGTTAACCATTAGATGAACGTGAACACGCATAGATCCAAAGAATTAACCGGTATCCTGGACGAACGAGTTACATGAACAACTTGGTATAAAAGAAGTGTCAACTTTCTGTGACCACGTTAGTTCAACGATACAAGTGTTTTAATATGAAGCTACTGGTAAGACAGAAGAAGAAGAAGAAGAAGAAGAAAAAGAAAAAGTCTTTTGTAATGAATGTAATTAAAAATTACAATTTAATTTTATTTGTTATTTTGTTCAGTTGCTTCTTGGATTGATCGTCCTGGTTTTTGGCCAGGAAACAATCGTCTCTACGATATCAAATGAAAACAAGGAAATTGAACAGCAACCAACAACGATACTCCAAGCACAACCAAATAATCAGGAAGGTGAAACTAATAAAAAATTAAATAAGAGAAGTTATGGTTGGGGTCCTTGGGGATACGGAGGTGGTTATGGTGGTTATGGCTGGCCTTGGTAAGAATTTTTTTTCTTACGGTTTCTACGATTACAACTATTAATCTATGCATTTGTTTTTAAAATATATATTTTTTTGTATTATTTATAGGTATGGTGGATGGGGTGGAGGATGGTATAGTGGTTGGTACCCTAGTTGGCCTTGGTGGTACGGTGGTCATGGAGGTTGGTATGGCGGTGGTCATGGAGGTTGGTATGGCGGTGGTCATGGTGGATGGTACAAAAAATGGTAATCTATGAAAGATCAACGGATTATCATTGGAGAAGTGTGTTTGTGTGTGTATCATCATATTATCTAAAGTAATAACGAGTATGACAAATTTATAATAATTACAAAATTCATTTGGATCAATGGCGAATAAAAATATAGGTTTTAACAATTAAAGTTAGCTAGTGAATAAGTTCACTATCATCCTCACACTATCATTCACACATCATCCCTCTTTTATCATCTATTATTTACGTTATATAAATATATATTATACATACATACAAATATCAATGAATTCATTTATATATCGCATTTTAATTAAATAAATAAAATACGAACTCATAGAAATATAATTGATAATAAGTATTCAAATTTTTCATTAGTTTCAACACGTACCTTCAATCGTTTCATCAAATAAGTCTTTAGTATTTCCTCACATATTGTTAAATTCTTATCGGTATCCTAGAAAATATATAAAAAAAAAAATAATATTTTTTGTTAATATAATTCAATTAAATTCTGAGATAAAATATAATAATTTAATATTAACCTTTATCATATTCGTAAGCTCCTCGATCTTTCGTAATTTAGCTTGTTGTTCTTCGAGAGTTGGTTGAACGTTGTATTCATGATTGGCTTCTGTAGAAAGCATAGCAGTAAGAATTTAATTATATTTTTAACACCTTTTTAATAAATATTCGTAGAATATAACGACGTAAAAAAGGTTTACTGCATGTTTTGACAAACAGCAGTAGTTAGATATTATATATGTTGCTTAGAAACCGAATGGCAAACAAACGTTTATCAATATTTTACAGTTATCTTCAAAAAAAAATATATCTTTATAATATTTAAAAATCATTTTCTAATGTTATAAGTTAATTTTTAATCTAATTAAATAATGAGATAAATCAAAATTAAAAGAATTAATGAAATAAATGCAAACGGGACGATTTTATACACGTATGTAAGCGGGTTGCCTATCATCAGGGGCACCCGGTTCAAATCTGTTTCCACTTTTATCCGCTAGATCGCGCTAGTAAGGACTACGATAATCAATCTGTAATATTACGATGTCAATTCAGCGCTTGCATAGTGTGACTTTTAATTCAATATTTTTTAATTTAAATAATTAATAATATTCGAATTAATATTAATAATATTTTTTTGAAACATTAATACGTAAAATAAAAAAGAGACATTTTCATAGTTGTCATCACACAGTGTCAGAGTTAAAAGCGCGCCAGATTATATACTTTTAATAGTGTGTTTAAGGAAAAATAACAAAAATGGGTCGTACTGTAATATCTGAAGTATCTCTTCGTTCTCGTTTAACATCCTTTGGTACGTCAGGATACGAAGTGGGATTAATTTTAGGACAGGTCAGATATTTATGTTTTTATTATTTTCTTAACCTTGTTGCAGCCGTCAATTTGATTTTATTCTAACATATGTCACACTTAAATAGGTTATGACAAAATCTGTTTATGTTACTATTAAAATAATAATTTATAAATAATAAAAGAAAAAATTATATTTTAGAGTTTGGAAAAAGAAGATTATTTCATACATTTAGCAAGGACACCACCACCCCGTACTAAAAATGTTGTTGAAGAATCTTTGATAGGTTCTTCAGATGGTATCGATGAAAGTGATTCCAAAAATGATTTTGAATCTATTCAAGATATACAGGAATATTGGTTAGCAGATCATGCCACTGATGTAAGTATTTATTTCTATTTTATATTATTCATATTTTTTTTTTATTTATTAATTTTTCTTTCTTATTTTTTTTTATTAAAGGTTACAAGAATGTTGCCTGGAGGAATGCGTATACTTGGTATATTCGTGGCTGGTCCTGAAGATATTTTAGATGATTCTAATAATATAGAAAAGTTAACGGTATCTATTGTTATTATTCTCACCAATTTTTTAAACAACCAATATCTTTATGGAACTAATCGATATTATTATATATTAACTTACAACAGTAAAACGCAAAGGTAACAAAAATGTCTTTTTTTTTTTTATTTAATCCCTTGTACTATAACTACACATGAGATTCGTGATACATTTGACAAATCAAACATGAGAGGCATACATTATATCATAGTGCAAGGGTTTAATCTTGTAACAGATACTTATACACGTATTTGTTTAAATTTTAATTCTATCTACATATACATTTCAGTTTTTCATTTACAGATATGTCTGTAAAATGATTGATGACTTTAGAGTAGAATGTACATTAAAACCAGTTGACATCAAATTTCGTAGTAAGAGGATTCCTTGGATCGAATTAGAAACTACAATTAATTTAGATAGAATGTTTTGTATACCAGCAAGTAAAGAACCTAAATCACTTAAACAACAATTGCAGGTATATTATCAATTGTACATGTTATAATATTCATTGTTTATATATTTTGACATAATATTGAATTGTAGGAAATATTAGAAGACGTTTCCAAAATGATAGATTCTGCATTAATTACGATAGAAGGCAAAATCAGATCATCGGAGGATTTGATTGAGATAATAATTGCAAATGAAAATGATAAAAATCAACTGCAAGTTGATTTGTACATTCCTTGTGTTAGTAATTTAATAACAACAATTTACAATGATATAATTAATACGATAATATTATATACACAATTATAATATTACACACACACACACAAATATAATTACAAATATAATATTAAATTGTAAATATAATAATTATATTTGTAATTAATAATATTATATACAATTTTCATTTTTAATTATTATAAATAGGAAAAATCAACATCTATGGAAACAAAAATAAAACCTTGCAGCGAATCATTATGGTTGATAGGTCAATTGGTTAGTAAAACAATCGTAACTGAAAAAACGAGTATAGAAGAAGCTACTAGAGCAATAAAAGAAGATATAATAAGATCATTGGCAAGTAGATTAGAAATGCACGTTGACAGTTTGATAGAAGAGGAAAATGATTCTCCTGAAGGTTCATTTCTATTACATATAAATAATAATATTATATTATAACATATCTTTATAATTCTTATTAAAATCAATGACTATTTTTTTTATTTATTTATTTTTTTTTTTTTTTTTTTTTTTTTTTAGAAAATATTACATTACATGAACCACCAAGAAGAATATTAATACATTTACATAAAAGTAGGGTAACATTATCGAGTTATTTATTTCCTGGTGAAGAACCACAAGAGGCATTGGTGTCTTTGCAAGAATTGTTAGACGTAGACGTCGAGGATTTGGACATTCAAAAAGAAATAGAATGTCATGCAGGTAAATGAATTTATTACAATTAATATTATTTTTTAAATATGAAGATAATAATACCAAATTTTTTTATCAATACAGAATCCATAGATACTTGTCAGTGTGGTCCTTCCATTATACCAGAAAATATCAAAAAAGTTGAGAATTATCTAAGCAATCTACGCATTATTGGTTTAGGTGTTGCTATTCTTATAGGTGTCATTGCAATGGTTTTCCATAATTTATATTAACTATACAAAAAGTAAGCGACTATTTTTATATATATATACTAATGTGATAATTCTCTGTATTTGAAATTTATAATATAAAAAAAAAATGTTAGTCAGAGAAGGAAGGAAGGAAGGAAGGAAGGTAAATTTTTTTTTTTAAATTGTGCTATATTATAATTTTTTAAAGATACAATTATAACACGGTATATTCATAATATGTATATACAGAATGTCATTATACATTGTTGTAATATATATACAAAAAAAAAACCAGATATATATGTATATATCTCGTTATTATTTTTAATAGTAATTTTCTTGTTTGTTTTTCTTTTATATATATATATTTAATATACATTATTTATAACATTATATTCCTGATATATATATATGTATATATATATCATTAAATATATTTAATTATTTATGTAAATAAAATATGTTTCGTTTAGACCATGCCAAATCAACAAATAACAAGATGATGCTGTTGTTGTTGTTGTTGTTGTCGTGTTTAATATGAAAGTAGTAGTTACTCATAAATAAGGCAGTGGTAATCATATTATTTTGTTTTAAATGCTTCATAAGAACACTGCATCATTTTTATTATTACATTAAATTCATTAAATGCTTTCAAATTTGTTATATTATTTTTTATGCTTATACTTATATTTTTGTATTTACAAATGTTATTTCTTTTTTCTTTTTTTTTTTTTTTTTTTTTTTATTATCTGTATTTGAAGAATTGTCAGGTCTTTCTTCACTTTTAGAATGTGATTTCTTTTTGTATTATTATTATTATTATAAAAAAGTTCAATAGTAGTAAACATTTGTGTTGTGAGAGTCATACTTACACTTACAATAGTTTTTCTTTTTTTTATANTATTACATTAAATTCATTAAATGCTTTCAAATTTGTTATATTATTTTTTATGCTTATACTTATATTTTTGTATTTACAAATGTTATTTCTTTTTTTTTTTTTTTTTTTTTTTACACTGTACAGAATAATTCTATTGGAAAGACATCATTTGAAAGTATTATTATTATTATTATTATTATTATTATTATAAAAAAGTTCAATAGTAGTAAACATTTGTGTTGTGAGAGTCATACTTACACTTACAATAGTTTTTCTTTTTTTTATATTCATATATATATGTATGTAATTATGCACACCAGAAAAAGTTTAATGATCGAACAATATGCTTATGTGAATATAAGAAGTGCAAATCAGAACAAAATTTGTATACAAACGTGTCGATAAGAGTCGACAGACTATTTTTTATTGTATAAAAAATTAAAAAAAAAAAGAAGTTTGATTAATCAATTATAAGTAGTAAATAGTGCCGCTTGAATGAATTTCAAAAAAAAAAAATATATATATATATATATCAGTTTACCACAGAAATAATAATCAATGATGTATTGGTTCCATTTGAATATACGCATATAATATATACATATATATTATATATATTATATAATATATATGTATATATTATATGCGTACATTATGATTTTTTTAAATATCATTTGTAAAGATGAATAAGAAAACCCATTTATCCATTAAATGCTAAATATTGTACCCAGATTCTTGTGGCTATGAGAAATATAAAATTGAGCTTATTTCTTTTTATCTTTTTCTTTTTTTCTTTTTCTTTTCTTATTTTCCTTTCTTTGAAATATTTTCAAATCTACTAAATTGTATAAGTCAGAAAAAATTTGATAATCTTTGATTGTAAAGAACAACAGTTAATAAGTCATTATACATACTAAAATCATTGCACTTACTATACACATACTTTTATATCACACAAATAGGCCTAAAATTTGATATCATTTTTTTAAGTATATATATATATATATATATATAATAATGTGTGAATGTATATATATATATATATATATAATAACTTCCCATTGGTAAATACTCTATGTATGTATGTATGTATGTATGTATGTATGTATGTATGTATGTATGTATGTATGTATGTGTGTATAGTATGTTTGTAAATGAAATTAATCATAAAAATAGATTATGATACTGCTCCCATTTTAATAAGGCCTACTTGACTTCCTTTACCAACGCTAGAATCTTCCAATGAATCTAAATCTAATGCAGATTCAATCATGGTAGTATCTTGTAATAATCTAAGCCTTGAGGCAGACAACGGAGTAGTTACGGTTACTGATGGTACTGTGCTGGTATCCAACGCAGAAGAAACTGCAACGTTTGGACGCGGAGGAAGCGGAGCAATTTCATCGATATCAATTGGAGCAATATTGAGCGATGCTAATGGTACTTCGTTGGTAACTAGCTGACTTACACTATTCGTAGTACTACCTAGAAAAAGATGAGCAATACAATTTTTATAAATAGAGTTTAATCTAAAAGAAAGATTTATATATATATATATATCAGGAAATAAATATCAAAATATATACAACAAGTTATTATGTACCTTTGCAATGTACAACTTATGTAAGCATAATTATACATTTATTTTATTATGTTTTAATTCACACGACTTTGTACAATGTGTGTCCTGTGTATGTGTGTGTGTGTGTGTGCATGTGCATATATGTAATTTTATATTGTGTGAATTTTTTTAAATTATTATTATTATTATTATTGTTTTATTTATCAATATCACGCACAAAATGTGTATGATTTAACGGATATACAAGTACCTTTTAAACAGTTAGATTTTTCTCCATCACCACTGTTTTCTTTTTGAATGTAAAAATAAGTGTTTATATATATTCATTTTATATTATAATAATTATTATAATAATTTGAATTTTACTTTACACTTATATTATGATGTATATATTATAATAATATGTGATACTATATATCTTATATATCTCGTGCAGAGAAAACAAAAAATATATATATCTGAAATATTTTATTTCTATAAATTAGAGATTAAGAAAAAAAAAAAATAAAAACAAATCAATACTATATTATTTATATCTATATCTATAAATTATTTACAAAGCTAGATTTATATATATATATGTAATATAATAGAAATGGATATATGAAGATTTGTTAATTTTTTGGTTTTGTTTATAGGAAGAAGCCAATAATGTGTATATTACTAATATCTGAATTATGACAATGTTTTATAAAATTAGTTTCGCGCGTGATAAAAAGACAACAGATATATATATATATATATATATGTAACACAGTGATTTAGTTAAAATAATTAATAAATGCCAACCCATTCATTTATTAGAACATACACTTAGTTTTCAGATGTAAGAAAGTAAACTTACCAAATGGAATTCTCTGAGCCCTCGATAACAGGATGTAATTTGAACAAAGAAAAATGATTCATTGAAATTGTTATCGAATAATTTGACAGAAGCGTTAGTAAACCAGTAACAAAAAAAAAAAAAAAAAAGAATATTGTGTTAAATCCTACAAAGAGAGAGAGAGATATAGAGAGAGAGAAAAAAAAACATATCTAACAAATTATAAATGGCTGAGATAAAAGCACCTTTTTTTCTTTCTTTTCAATTTTATAAAATCATTTTTTAACGATAAATATACATTTTCAGTCAAAAATACAAACGATATATATATATATATATTCTCAAAAATACAACTTAATCTAAAAAAAAAAAAAAAAAAATACAAAAATAAAAAGAGTTCATCACACTTTTCTCATAATAAATAATTATTAAAATTCTCGTATAAAAATCAATCAAATGCAACTATATATATATATATAAACATTTGAAAAAAGAATATTTAATAATTTAAAAAACAAAACAAAAAATAAAAATTCTCTTTATAAACTTATATTATCTATTATATACACAGCTCTGTTTTTAATATCATAAATTGGTTTTTCTAACAACAAGACGATAATTCGATATACATTGCACATTGTTATTTAAATGTACTATTATAACTTTTTATATTATTTTTTTTGTTCGTTTGTTCTTTACTTTTCTTCTTTTTTTTTTTTTTTCTTTTTCTTTGTTTTCTTTTTTTTTTTTAAGAAAATACTACCAGTGCCATTTGGATACTACCATTTTGTCCAATGTTATAATTTACCTTATTATTATTGCCAGCTATGCTGCAATCACGTTAAATATTACAAAGGCGAGGCTGAATGTTACAAAGCTGTTTTTGCGCGACAGCTTTATCAATATTAATTAACGCATAATAATAACGCGATAATGAATGAATTATAATGAATGTTAAATGTCATCATTATCGCTCATAGAATTCATGATAAATCTTCTATTCAAAAGATTTTCCTCTGTACTATCGTTAGGACAAAATGAATTTTCAACGTAAGATAAATTATTACTCAATGGATTTGAACCAAAACGATTATCTACAAGTCCTAACGCTTGTATAGGAATACCAGTAGCACCTAATATACGTGCTGGTAATATATTTTTTGCTATCGGATATTTAATACCATTATCGGTGCATCTAAGATTATTATATTTCATAGTATGATGTTGACTTTGAGAAATACGTAAAGGATCTTCAGAACGACACTGTGGAAACTTTTGTAAATCAGAATAACCATTTTTATCGTCTATTTTATATTGTAAAGTATCCTCGGAATATCTTTGAGGATATTTTTGAAGATCTATCGCATATTTGTGATCTTGTATGCACTGATCATATATTAAATTGTTATCCGAACACCTGTGATATTCTTCTCTACATCTATGTGGATACTTATGTATACCTTTTTGAAATTCTGGATTAATCCTATCATTAACATTATATTTCATATGTTTTTCCTGAGGACAATGTGGCATAGGATATGATGGAACATAAATATCACTTATAAACTGATGAGAATATTTTGGAATTTCATCAGTACAACGAGAAGGATGCCGTAAAAGAGACAACTCACCATTAATAGATTCTAATCTTGGAGAGTAACGACCAGTAACAAGATTATTCATTGAATCCGTTAGTTCTGTTGGAACATTCGTCTGCAGTCCTGTTCCGTTTGACTACGAATAATAACAAAATCAAAGTAAATATTACATTTAATGTTCTCAATATAAATGTTAATTAAACATTTGAATAAACCCCTTGTGGTTTTACCTGTGGTTGGATAATCTTTACTGTTCCATACGACTTATTATTAGCTATCACATTTTCATCAGAAACTCGTTCCTGTTCTGCACGGTACTCAGGAGTAACTATTCCTCTACGATCTGTATACAAATGAATATATATATATATATAATAATTATTATCTTACAAAATCTAAATAAATCTGATGAAAATTACCAATTAAACTTGGTGGCGAAGGACCGCATAAAACATAGAAACAATTTCCACAAATATTTCCACGACTATATGGATTAAAACTTTCTTGACCTATTTTACTTGTAAAAGAACCTTTTATCTGTAAGTAAAATGAAAATTAATCTACTATTTGAAATTGTTCATTTATATTTATGTTTCATAAATTAACACTTACATCTTCATTAGTTGTTTGATTACTCGTTGCTAGATACGTGTGAAAACCAGCAAGACCCAAGATACTCCAAGCAGAAAAAAAGCATATCACTCCTACAATGACACTACCAGGAGATAATTTGACAGCTTCTAAAAATGGTCTGTCGTCTCTTGTAACTGAATACGATCAAAAAAAAAGAAAACATAGACAATTGTTATAAGATATTTTTTTTTTAATAAGACATTATTGTTTATCATTTGATTTATTTTCTTTTTCTTTTTTTTAGCATTATAAAAAATATACTCACGCATTATTAAATGTGTAACAGCGCAGGCAAATATAAAAACACATAAGAATGCTAATGATACTATAAAAGCATAAAAATATCTATAATTTCTTCTACCAACACAATTGCCAACCCACGGACAATGGTGATCAAATCTTTCTGGAATAATTCAAAATAAAATATATATATATAGACTTTAATGGATCATATATTTATGTATAATATACATACATTAAGGATAGGTGTAAAAGAAAGAAAAACAAAAAGAAAGTGCTAAGTATATACTAAAATTTCTTTAACCTACCTACACAATTATCGCATAAGCTACAGTGCGAGGCTCTTGGTGGTCTAAATATCTTACAAGTAAAGCAATATTTTAACTTTACGGGCTGTCCTCGTACCAATACTTCTTTTGTTCTTGGAGGTGGTCTATATGTTTTAGAGTTACCATTATTTGGTACTTCTGTATCAGCACATGCAAAAGACATAGATAAGTAAATAATTAACAAAATATTCACACAAGCTGAACGTTATTAACAAGAAAAATATAAGTATCTATGACTACGTTAACTGATTGAGTCCTAAAAAAAGCAACAACATATCAATTTTTTACATTACATAAGTTTCAATAACACAACACTTTTTGATAAGAAATTTGAACAGTGCTATTTTGTTGCTTAGGACTCAAACAGTTAATATTTATATTTAGGATGTACAAAGCTATTATGCGAATATTTAGAATAATTCTGATATTATTCTGACAAATGAAAAACTTAATGAAATATATATTCACGTATGTTCATACTCATACCAATCTGTTTTTCTATATAAGCAGCCTCATCCGGTGTTGCTCTTGGAATAACACCGGGATCACTAAAGCTCGTTCGAAACAACGCAGACATTACAAATACGAATAATAATCCACCTATTACCGGGATTGCAGGTGTTATATGTACAGCCAAAAATGGACAACTGTAAAATAGAGATATTTAAAGAAAATACAACTAAATGACAACGACTAAAAGAATATAGTATCTCATTTTCAATAGACAACGTGCTGATCATAAATATTCTTGTTAATCTAAATATTCATCGCAATGCAAAACACATCAAATAGAAGAAAATAAAAAAAAAGGAAACTTACTCGAAAGCAAAGAACAATCCACTGGTACCAGCAACCAAACACACCGTAACATAGAAGACTCCTGTTTGGGGTGCAGTCATTACCCTGCCATCGCAACAAAATCTATTTCGACCAGGAAACAATTCCCATTTTCTAGTCACGTGAGGCATATTGATGGACGATAACTTGCACTCTAAATATCTTTGATATATACAAGCAAATACAGTTGAGATCTTTGTAAAAAGTTTATCACACACATTGAGTCTTCATAATAATGTAAAATATTAGTAAATGCACAACCATAGTTCATCTTGATTCTTGATAATTATGGATACTTTTGTCATTCAACGTTTGTCCCAACAAAACTGTAATAATGATAATATCATAAACATTTATAAATACATATATATATATATATATCTGAAGATTGACAATATTGTTAAAAAGATAAGAAACTGTCAAAAGAAAATACTAATTGATGTTTATCGTAAGTCGACTTATAAACAGAGTAGAAAAATATTTATTGTTCGAACTTACGAGATGTATTATTTGACATTTAATCAGTCGGTTTACTCCAAAGGTAAAGCATAGTAGAATCAAAAACCTTCTGTCATCGGTCAACTTAACCTAATTACATCGTTCGTTAAATGCACACGTATTTGAAGTACGTTAAGATCCATGACGTTATCAAGAAAAATGACACATTTAAACTTTATTCGAAGAGGAGATCGTTTATAGGTTGTAGGTTGATTTATTTATATTCTTAATGACTGTGAAAATAATTTCTAAAATAGTAAAACATCACAATATTTTGTAAAAAAAAAATAAGGAAGTTCGAGGAACACTTGTTATATCGATGAGATCACGCTCGAGGTACGATCGTCCGAGGAAGAATTAATGATCTATATTCGTAAAGTGGGTCGACTCACGACATGTCACGCGCAAAATCGTTGCGTATGTGCGTTACTAAATGATATATATAATTAATTATTGAAATAAATGTAGGTTAATCATAATGACATTATAATATTAGACTTAATAGTGCACGAAGGATAAGTTGACAAACTTGCAATTTTGTATTTGCGAAGCAAACAGATCCTTTCGTCATGATGTTTAATCAAATGTACACTGGCGCGCTCTACTGGAGCACTAAAAAGCGCCACGTGATATTTTCGCGCATCACGTGACTTGGCGGGCCGCACGGGGTAATCTCAAATTCGAATTATAATCGAATAAAAGATCGAAAAACAATAATTCGAGGATTTTTTGTTTTTATTTTCAAATGCTCATCGTGATTTATATCGTAATCATTAAACATCATGTTTTTAAACATTCCAATGAACTCTAATTGAATCTAAATCTAGAAATATGTAAGAATCAATTGAGATGTAGCAAAAACAAAGTATGTGCAATCGTTTAGAGTTTCAATTAATATTAATTTACACGTATTGAGTAGTTAGATTAAATATTAAACGCTAAGTCATAAACTCAATTGTAATATTTTGATCGATATCGATTATAGAAACGATATATATTGAATATCGAGTAAAAATTCATAAACATTGGAAGGATCGATATCGATCGGAGGGATCGATCGAAGATCGCAATCGATTGCAATCAAAAAAGAAGAGGAATTGTAAAAGATTTTGATAAAAAAATAAATACATATTGTTAATGATTTCAAGAATGGAGATAGAAGGAGGCTTTTAATAGAAAAGAAACGATTATTGCTTGTAACTGTAGTGATCGATCGTTGAACGTTAGTAGCGCGCGCGACTTATCGCCCTCCCATCCTTGCAAAATAGGTCGTCGACGCAATGCAGTATACACGTCGTAGGCGCGCATACCCCTTTTTCTCTCTGTCACACATACACACACACTCTCTCGTTTCTCTTTCCGCCCTCTCTCTCTCTCTCTCTCTCTCTTTCTCTCTCATTCACTCTTTATCCATGCACGCACGGTAAAATCTTGAAAATCGAAGGATCGCACCGTGAACGCCATCTTTGCGGATGTCGAAGAAGAACGAAACGGCCGGAAGCCGACGATCACCGTGGCAACACTAAGAGAGAAAGAGAAGAAAAAAGATAAAAAGAGAAAGAGAGAGAGGGGCGGGGGAGAAAGAGAGAGAGAGAAGATCCACGTTTCGATCCCTAGCAGGACGCATCTGCACATATTTTCCGAAGAGAAACTCAAACGAAGGAAGGAAGGATAGAAGGAAGGATCGAAGACACACGGGGTATGGATTTTTATTTACTTCCTTTCTTTCTTCTATAATTTTTACTTTTTTTTAACATTTTATTCCTATAACGCTTTCATAAGATCGATATTAAGAGTTTTGGAATTGATCGGGTCTAAAGGTTTTTTTTTTCGTCACACGTGGGATCACGATGTAAATAAAAATATAACCGATCGACGAACTAACGATCCTGATATCGTGAACGGATTATTTTTCATCGTAAATATCAAATAAAATATCTCTAAAATCTATAATTTAGAAGAAGTAGAAGAAGAAGAAAAGAAGAAGAAGAAGAAGAAGAAGAATGTAGAAAGGAAAGAACTAGAAAGAACTAGAAAGAAATAGAAAGAAAGGTAGCAAGTAGTATGTTAAAGAAAGGAAGGGCCACAGGGTGAAAAAAGGTCGGAACTTGAGGAAACGGTTCGGAAGAAATTATTGGCGTAGATCATCGGGATCAACAGGCGTAGCGGGAAAAATCGCGATCGTCGTCGTCTTCGTCGCCACGTTTTCGTGGAAGATGAGTAGAAAGTGAAAGCACGAGAAAGAGAGAGAGAGAGGGAGGGAGTAAAAGGGTAAGAGGGAGAGAGATACTCGAGGTAGGGAAGAAAGGGATGGAACGATCGAGGGTAGTTGCGTAGTTAAGGGAAACCGGGATATGGCGATGGGCGAAGAAGAGAGAGTTTAGCGAAACGGAAAAGCTCACGAGGAATAAAATTCCTCGTCTTCTTCATCATCTTTGTCATAGTCGTAGTTGTCAAAGGAAGAGGAGGAAGAAGAAGGAAGACGTTCGCGCGCTTTCACGTATTTTCAAACACTTTCCTATCAAACGGGATGGTGTGTAATAGTAACAGTACTGCTAGTAGTGGTGGTGGTGGTGGTGRTGTTGAAATGGTAATGGTGGTAGTGCGAAGGTGATGGTACGGTTGGTGGTGGTAGCAGAAATCTCTTTCAAAAGGTAAAGAAAGAAAGGAAGATCCTAACAGAAAGAGGTAGAGAGAAAGAGAGAGAAGTGGGGCTACACAGAATGAGGAGAGGGAGAAATCAAAAGGGTGCGAGCGAGTAGAAGTTAAACTAGAGGGTAAGAGAGAGAATGAAAAATGGGGAAAGTAGGGGTAGTAGGGCGGAGGGACAGGGCGTTCAGAACATGAATCGTGGAGCGGGCGGATGGACGGACGGACGCAAACGCTGAAATCAGCTCGGCCGATCGATACGATAAATGGATGCGTGCGATTGGTAGCCAGGAAAATCGATGACGAACGGCGAATACATACCGGGGTACTACTGTATATACATAGATAGAGTCTCACAGAGGAAAAGAGAGAAAGAGAAAGGTATACATATATATATACAGGGAAGAGGGAGAATCTAACTAGCTCGGCGAAAACGGCCGCCGTTGCTATTTCCACCACCTCCATCACCACCATCAGCAGCAGCAGCAGCAGTAGCAGCAGCAGCAGCAACACCACCACTAACAACAGCAGCAGCAACACCACCACTACCACCACTACTACTACCACCAACAGCAGCAGCAGGAGAATCGCGGGTTCTGACATTGCCATCACCATCAGCATTGCCATCGTCGGCGCAGCTATTGCCGCCGTTTCCGCCGCCGCCGTTATTGCCGCCGCTGCCGGTGGCGGCGGTGAGGATGGAGGAGCAAAGACCGAAATATCGATTTTTAGGCCCCTACGCGGCGCGGTTCGATGCTCATATCTGCCCCCGTCTACCCCCCCGGCCGTGCGACCGCGCCGTCGAGGAGAGCGGCCGAGGGAGATAGAAAGAGAGAACGAGAAAGAAGGCACCTTTCAAAACACCAACGACGACGACGACGACGACTACGACTACGACACGACTACGACGTTGACTACGACGTTGACGACGACGACGACGACGACGACAACGACGACGACGGTTACGACGCGACGACTAGGAGGAGGAGGACGCGCGCGAGATACAACGAGGTGGTTGGTGGTTCGCGGTGATTGTTAGATCCCAGAAAACGACCCACGACACTACTACTCTACTACTACTACTATTACTACTACTACTCTACTATCTACCTACCTACCGATCGCTTAATATTTATCGTGACCGGGAAATAATATTAAAGGCATTTCAACGACGTAGACGACGCGGACCTCATCTTTTAACGTCTCTTTCGCGATCATCCTAGTGTATTGTTGTGTGTACGAGGGAGTTACATTCGATAAATAAAGGGAGTGAAATAGACATTTCTTTCTCTCTCTCTATCACTCATTTACTTTCTCTATCTTCGGCCAATGTTGTCAGGTAACGGACGCGTTCGTTATTCTTATTTGAATATGATAGCAAGACGCTATCGCTTATCCATATTTTCTTTCTTTTTTTCTTTTTCTTCTTTTTTATGATTATTACATTTGTCCATATTCTAATCCTCTTCCATTCTTCTTCTTATTCTTCTTCCTCTTCTTTTTATTATTATTATTATTATTAAATAACATCGCGAGTGTGCACCCTTCGTTCCTTTTGGTGATGAATAATTAAAATATCAACGTGATGATGATCGACGAACCGCGTGCTGTTTTGTTCCTGTATCTGTTATTGATGATTTTCATAATCCTCCTAGAAGAAAGAAGGAAAAACGTGTTAATTAACGATGATATATAGTTGAAAAGAAGAAGAATATGAAGGGTGAAAACTCGTGAGGGTGGTGTTTGCAAAGAGCGAGTGGGCGAAAGAGAGAGGGAAACGTAATTCATCCTTGATTGTTCGCGTGACTCTGTCATGTCAGCGCCAAAGTTGTAAATTTGATTACGCGCCTCGCATATAATTTCAATTCTTTAAGAAATATCAGCGTGTAAAAAATACAAGTGAAAGAGAAACTGAAAAAAAGATCAAACGAGAAGAATATCATCATCATCATCATCATCGTTTCTTTGTTCAACCGCGATGATTGTCCTATTTTTTTTGGTTTAAATTCTTGATCATTCGTCAGGGATATAAACATTTTCTTGTTCATTGATTTTCTCTTGTTTGTTGTTCTTTTCTTTCCACGTAAAATGAAGTGAAACATAGAAAAAAGCCACGAGGATTTAATTGTTTCTTTTCTTGTTGCGTGGTGTGTTTAAAAATCCTGTGAGATCTGTTCTCTCAACGATGATGACGTAGGATCGTTTAGCGTCGCGCCAGCAGCAACATACACACACAGACACGTTCTCTCTCTCTTTCTCTCTCTTTCATTTATCTTTCGATAACGATTATTTAGTTGGACAAAGGTTGTGTCGTCGTACGATCGATATATTAGACACTAGGATCGACGCTAGAGAGTTTGTATGGATCGTGACCATGAGGACGTCTTTTTGTGCGTGGCAGTACGCGTTTACAAACGATTCGATTAAACAGTGACAATACAATTCGAATCTAATTCATGTTTTTTATCAATTTAATTATTTAGATTTTCTAAGAAAATCTCTCTTAGAAAAGAAACAGAGTGCGTGTGTAAAAGGGGTGTGCAACAGGCGTCTTATTTTCACGAATCTAAAAAATTAAAATATAGGAATATAAATAAATTTGAACTAAGTAATCAAATAGTTCAACGTTTTAGCTAAATTAGTCTTACTTTTGTATGTTAAAGAAAAAATGTCAATCGCTGCTTCGGAGAATTATCAACTAAAATGGCATAGCTACGGAGCACATCTTCATAGCTCCGTAGCGACCCTACTTCAATCGGAATCCTTTGCGGATGTTCTTCTGGCAACGTCCTGCGGCCGACACGTGGCGGCACATCGATTTGTCCTTGCAGCATGTTCTTCTTATTTAAGTCACATCTTTCAAACATGTCATTTTGCGGCCAATTCGAATGCCCAAACTATCGTGGTAAGTTCATTTCTTTTATATCAACTAATAACAATAATAATAATAATATATAATTTCAATACATGTTTAATGATAAAAATAATATTTGTGAATAGTTTATTTAAAATTTATGTGTTTATATATTTAAAAAAAATGATATTACATGGATGCAACGTAATCTGTGGTCGTTTTGAAAAGCGATCTTAGGCGTGACTTAAGCACATTTCACCTCGATGAGATTTTATCGATCCCACTTGCAGAGAACTTAAATGGGATCGTACGATCTCAGTGGTGTTGTAGGTGGAAGGTCGTCCAATACTCGTTCACGTGTCTTCTTCGATGATTTTAGGTATTGCCAACGGAGATCGGATACCGTACATTGAAGATTCTTATACAGTACATGTACAGTGGAGAGGCAACTGTAACGAACGATCAATTGGAAGGAGTATTAAGGGCTGGTGATATATTGAGAGTACGTGGATTATGGAAATCCAATTCGGGTAGTAAAAAGGAGAACATACAGTCAAACAATCAAAAGGTCGAACGTGATAAAAAGGAACAAGCACCTTTGACCGGACAAATTCAAAAGATCAAATTGGTACAGCCTAGTACAGAAAAGATCGTTGAAAACGTCCAACAACCGGCGACAACGCAGAACAACGTTCAAACTCAAAAGTCCGTAGAAAGGAAGAATGTGGAAAAGGTTGAGGAAAAATCTATCGAACCTGAAACTAAAAAGGTCTTGGAAGAAAACAAGAATAATGAACAGAACAAGAATAAAGAAAATCTCGAGGCTAATAGGAAAACTAGAAAGAACGTTAGCAGTGACGTCGAATCTAACAAATCGAGAAGCGAAGGTGGTGAAAATGTAAGATACCTTTTTTTGTTTATTTTATCTAATTTTTATCTTCTTAAGTAATTCTTAAATATATATATTCTTTTTTTTTCTCTCTCTCTCTCTCTCTCTTTCTTTCTCTCTTTCTCTATCTTTTTTCCAACCCCTTGCACATAGGCGGAATTAAATTTAGAACTGTTAGTGAAGGACGAGCCGATCGATTGGGTGGAAAGTATCGATCCATCCGAATCCCTGACGATAGACCATGAGATCGATATCAAACCGGTACGTAATCCAAAGTATTATTAATCTAGATCTTTAAAGAAAAAATTAAAATGTGTATAAATTTATGATGATGATAATGATGATGGTACCTTTGTAGGAAATCGTACACAGTGCCGACGAGGATGGTGATTTGGAAGAGGAAGAGTATACTCCTTTGACCTGCGATATGTGCAGTCAAACTTTTAACAGGCCATCGGATTGGGTCAGACACATAGAATTCACGCATGCCGACATGACTGAGAACAGAAGAAAAAAGAGGAAGGTAAATTAAAGATATTCATAAGATAAAACATATAATATGCAAAAATACACTGATGTATAATTGTTTTTTTATTTGTAGGGTGACGTGGACGACGACAGTAAAGAATTTCCACCGTTAAAGTGCGACCTTTGCGGGAATATGTATCCAACACCTCAGGAATGGGTACGTCACATACAAACAGAACACACGGAAGAACAATTAGCCTTGATGAACAACTCGACACCTCCTAAACCAAAAAGGGTACACAGTCATCAAAAATTATGCAATATTTGTCAAAAAGTATTTCCAAGTCACGCATCCATGGTAATACATCAAAGAACGCATACGGGAGAGAGACCTTTTCTTTGTTCCTATTGTAAAAAAGGCTTTAACGTAAAAAGTAATTTGCTGAGGCATTTAAGGACGCTTCATGACAAATTCGTACATCCCAGCTTGTATGGGAGTAACGGTAACAAAAATGGCTAAATCATTTCTCTCTATTAAATCTTAATAATAAGAAATCAACAAGAAGAGAGAGAGAGAGAGAGAGAGAGAGAGAGAGAGATAATACAAAGAGAAACGAAAAAAAAAAAAACAAGACGAAAGAAAATAAATTAAAAAAAAAAACACACACTTTTTTTTATTTTAATCTCAATTTTAAAAGAGCGCGATGATGACCGCATTTACAATATATTTATTATTACGTCGACGTAAAATGAAACAAAAAAAAAAAAAAACAAAAAAAGAAAAGACAATTTTATTCGTATGAAAAGTATAACGAAAGATCAATTTGATCGATGAAACAATAATCCGTTTGAATATGTGAATAAAGGGTGTATCCTTAAAACTAGATAATTAAGAAAATAATTCTCTCCCTATTATCAGTTTGAAATTCGGTGAAATAATCAATTAGCGATGACATTCTTGTATTTATCGTAATAAATACTTAGTGATCATCTTTACATATTCGAAATGTTAATTGTAAGGGAAGGGAGGGGGGTCTCTCTCGAAAAAAAAAAGGATTAAATTACGAACAGTTTTTTTGTAAACGAAGAAGCAATATGATGAGGGCTTTAGAACCAAAGAGGCTGATTAATATTGCCAAAGTATCTTTTTCTTTTTATTTTTTTTTTTTTTCTTTTATTGCTACTTCGATTCTTTTTCACGTACACCGAAAATCTATATTTAGTTTGGTATATTAGAAACTTTGTTCTAATAAAAAAGGGTGCATGAATAAGAGGCAAGATGAACGATTTTATCAAATATATAGAGGTCTTCGCAAGAGAGAAAGAAAATGAAAGAGTAAGGAGAGAACGAGCGAGAGAACGAGAATACTTGCGTGTAAAATAATTCATAATATAAATCAACGTTTAATGATTAATATTTATTTACTTAGTAATTATACGAGAATCTAAATTATGTAAGATTTAATTGTATACTTCTAGGCTATTCCATCCATGGTAGCCCTCTTATTCCCACAGCTCGTAAAGCTGATTATGTATTTTTATATTAAAGTAGCTTATACACGAAAAAAAAGGTATAAGATATAAGACATTAGGGATAAGTGAAACTTGAAATTTTCATTAGATTATTAGGATGTAAGAATAACGCATAATAATTCAAAATTTATCAAAAACAAATTTTGAAAATATATTGAGTTCTTCTTACATGTATACATAAAAGTGCGACATTATCAAAAGTGGTCACAGTTTACTACAAAAGAAAAAGAAAAAAGAAATAAATAAAAAGAAAAACCGAGTTAATTATATAATACGAAAAACCTGATGAAAGAATGACATCATTTTATCTTGTTAATCATTACACAATTATATCGTGTCACTTTTTGAACTATGAACTTTTTTTTAGTGTCAATTCTAATATTGCGCTAAACCACAACACACTGTGACAAGCCAAATGATTTTTAAATGTAAAATTTAAATAATATACTATCTTCAAAGTATTTTTTAACTTTGCCTTGATTGTACCTCAATATATATTATATTATATTATATTATATTATATTATATTATAATAGAGCATACACATTTCACTTTTTTTATTATCAAAAATACGTATATGTTATTATTATCATCATATCTTCATCATTATCATCATTAACATTATCATCATCAATTTTCGTATTAAAAATTAAAATATTATTATCCGATATATTTTATATATATATATATAGTAAACGAAAAAATTTATGAAGCTACAAAAATAAATACAATGACGATAATATATAGGTACCATGTCAGAATTTGGAAAAAAGAGAAAAAAAAAAGGAAAAACAAATACACAACAAATATCAAGCTATGTAAAAAAGGAAGAACCATTATCATTGTGATAATTACAGGCATGTACAAAATAGAATAATATGACAGGTTTTTTTTTTTTTTTTGGTGGGGTTTTTCTTAATTATCATCCTCGTCGATCTTAGGTGCCAGGTAATACCTAATGTGACCAATCTCTCCAATCTTATATTCGCATACTAATGGAACGTCACTAGACATCGAAAGTTGTACTTGTGCGCATAAAGGACTCGCCTTTATGAAGCAGTTTAAATAACGACAAGCAAATGTTAACTTAACCGGTTCTTGCATGTTAACAATTACTGCATCTTCTTCTTTATCTGCCTCCGCAGTTTGTGCGAGTTTGACATTAGCTAAAACATAATTGAAGAAACATTAATTATATATATATATGGCATGGTACATTTATTGCATGTGTCATTGAAGCTTTAATCATAGACATTTTTTCTCTCTTTTATAAAATATTTATATAAATATTATCTATTTCTTCTTATTAATTAAGGTGATGAAAATAGCAAGAGAATCTTGAATGTGTACTATCAGACAAATCATCGGAGTTCAGATATTAAGATAGTACTGTGAATTGGTAATTACCTCATTAAAAAATAGAATATATATATATATATATATATATAGTATATTGAGAATAGTACATGCAATTTATATATACATATACGATGAGAATGCACTGTTATAATAAGTCACAAAATACAAACCTGTTCCATGATCCCCAGACGCTGTAAACTTAATACCTTCTTTAGAGCAGGCAAATGTTATCGATTCCCCAAATTGACTCAAATCTCTACAGATACGAGCAAATTCCTGGGAAGGCATCTTGACTACGCAAGAGTAATTTGTTTCCTGTAATATTTTGCAATAAAAGAAAAATCAAATATGACAAGAAATACAAATAATACATGTATAAATATTGAAAGCATTTAACTTACAGGAATACCAAGATGTTCTTGGTCCATATTAATAAGTTTCATTTCATATTCAGCAAGTTTTTCTTTGCTTGGTGACTCAAAAACAAAAGCAATGACTTCTGGGTTGTCCCATGCTCTCAATGTTACAGTATCTTCTGTACCAGCGCATTTTAATATCTTGGACATTCTACAAAAAATATAATTTAATATAATTAGAGAAATATAAATAATCGGATAAAATATATTATATTAGTATCTCAAAGAGAACAACAAACAAAACAAAAAAATAAGAACAAAGAACAACAAATCTAATTTTGACTATGATTACTAGAATAACCTTTAAAGAAAAGAAAGAACAAAAAATGAATCGTCTTACGTTGCAATGCTCATTCCCATGGACAAATTTCTGTCGCATCTGTATTTATCAAAACCATCACTTCTTAAATTAAGTGAAACCAAAGAAACGTGAGCATTGTCCATAGCTTGTACTTGAATTCCAGAGTCAGAACATTCAAATGTTGCTTCAGATAAAAGATCCTTTACAGCGTCCAACACCTTCTTCAGGATCGCACTTTGTACTAAACGTGCTTCGAACATATTGATTAGAAATAAATTGATTCAACTTAAATGAATTTCAAATGAAATTAATATCGCAATCTAATGCAACAAGTGCAACGCTGCAGAGATGCTCAATAAAGTAGACGTTACCCGCGCATTTACTTTTGTTTTATTCGAAAGGAAGTAGATGGCGCTTCGATATTACGGAGATGACGTTTCTCTCGAACTAGAAAAAATATAAATGTCTTAATAAACTTTCGTATAGTTTTAAAAATAACGTTAGATACGAAGAATGAATAAAACATTGAAAATAAAAAATATAATAGAAATTTATTTACAATAATAATTGCAATAATGATATATACCTGGTAATATTTTTTTTTTATAGGTTAAAGTTTATATTTTTCTTCATGCGGGATAAGAATTATACACTTTTAATTGTCATACAGATCTTTGTATTAAATGAATAAATAATGAAATAATATAATATAATATTTCGTTAGAGATTTTATATGTAAAAATATATTCGCTAATGGAAGATGACATAAACTATTGGTAACTTGTAATTGTTAAATAAACTATTTCCAATGAACTCTTATTCATATATCACGATTTCATTGTTATCCTATCGTATTCTAATCGTTCATAAGAATACGAAGCTGCACTTATTTGCAATTGTATTAGAATTATTTGTATTTGTGGATAGAAATAATTCTATAACAATTTTGATTTATCGATGTGCATAAGTAAATCCGGCACAATTGCTTTTTCCTTAGTAATTAAAAACTTATTTACAGAGAAAAGAACAATTTCTTAAAACGATTAAAATCGGTAGTATATAATACTAAGTCCTTTGTATAAAATAAAATGTGTTCATATGATTACTTCTTTTCTTTTTTTTTCTTTTTTTTTTTCTTTTAAAATTGTACTAATTCGGTAACATGATATTGTTTCATGCAGGTAATTGAACTTAAAAATAATTGGATTAAAACTTATACGAAAACTTATGTAAATATAATGATTCACTTAATCTATTCATATTGTACTCTTAAATAAATGCAGTCTCACCTGTTACGTTTTATAATTACTGATATTTACATACGATATTTTTAAGGATGGTTTTGCAAAATTGTTTTATCGGAAGGATCAATAAGTAATGGTTTTATTATTTTTTACCCCTATTAAAACCCAATATTACTTGTTATATTTTCCAGTTCGTTAAACATTTGATCCAGATGCTGAAGTCAAAAGAAATGATTATTTACAAAATAATTTATATATATATATATATATATTTAGATATATTATTGCGTATACTTACATCAGATGGTTCTGTATCTTTTAAAACATGTTGCTGTTTAACATTTAATAGATTAATATTATCTTCGTCATCTTCGTCTTCTTCATTATCATTATCGTCGTCTTCTTCATTATCGTTATCGTCGTCTTCATCATCATCATCGTCGTCGTTGTCGTCGTCATCGTCATCATCTATATCTTGTTCATCTTCGTCATCATCGTCCTCTTCTTCACCGGTCATGTATAAGTCTTCATAATCTTCTGGTTCTAATTTAAACTCCGTTAACAATGTTTCTGGCACTTTTTCTGTTTCTGACGGACACGGAGGGGTTATCTCAGAAGCCGAAAGTATTTGAGGTGGTTGCTCTGGCTACAACAATTAATCGACAATTTATTAATATAATTCTTAACAAAATTAGATTGTTAATTAATAATATGACACATACCTGTGCTTGTTGTTGCGCCGTTTTAACAGACGTTACAGATTCAGATACTTGAGAAGATTGTACATTAATATTTTGTTGTTGAGTTTGACTATTTTGTTTACCCTGTGTATTATTATTATCTTGTAATCTATGCTCTCCATTAGTATCTAGCTGTTGTGTTGATTTTTTTTCGTTATTGTTTTCTTTTTGTTCTTTTGTTTTTGATGTTTTGCTTGGCTCTTCTTCTACTTTCTTTACATTTAGTTTAGGTTCTCCCGAAAGACATGTATTTCCACGTTGTCTTCGGAATCTTACAATAATACTTCTTGTATCCCACATTAAGTTGTGTGTCTGTTTATAAGCAGCTATCGATTCATCTACAGAATTATATCTTACAAATGCATATCTGAAAAACAACCAAGAGAACAATTAATTATTTAATATGAAATACTATATATACATATATACACTTTATATTTACCGTGTATTTCTCATTTTTTGCGCATAACCAACATCTACCCTAGAAGCTGTTGGAAACTTGCTTTTGACTTCACTAACATTAACAGTTTCTGGTAAATTTCCTACGTATAAAATATAGGGATCTATTTCTTCAAGCATTGGATTATCTTCATCTCGCAAAGATTTTCTCTCCACTTTCAAATAACCAATGCCAAAAGGAATCTTTTCTAACTCTTTAATAGCTTCATCAATATTAACATTTTCAGCCATCTGAATAAAACAATATCTAGGGCCACTAGGACTTTGAAAATGAATATTTTGTATACCAGGATGAAATTCTCTAACAATATCTTTATTAAGATCAGGATCTGGAAATTTAATAATCAAACTCCTTGCTTTAACTGTCTTATTGTATTCTGTTTCAATTTTTAAAGCTCTCTCAGCATCTTCCCGATTCCATGGTCGACTGGGGTAACTTAGCGACATAGATTTTCTCTGTTTATTATTTTTAACAACTACCTCTTCCTAAAATAGAATTTAATGTATAATCATATCGTAAAAATATCTATCATAAATAAAGCTAATAAAACATACCACTACAATTTTAACATTCTGATCTCCTTTTTCTTCTCGATGTTTGGCAGTTACAATACCTTGGGTTATGGGAGTTACGGGATGATTGGAAAGAGGAACAGGCATATGATTCATAATAGCATCGTTTGGCGTTGCATTATAATTGTTTCTTTGCCATTCTAAACCGAGACCACCTGTTAACGGTGAGCCTAAATAAGAAGCTTGATCGAATTGTCCTTGTGGTTGACCAAAATGTGATAGTCTTCTATTCCTTCGATGAAAGTTATTTCTCTGCATATACATGTTATTTCTATTGTGAGGATACCTTTCTCTTCCCATGTAGTTACCTCTCAGGACAATTTCCCTTTGAACATGTTGAATTTCTCTTTGAGGTAAGGGCGTTGTTATCCATGACCAATGCGTGGGTGCTTGAGTCCATGTTTGAATTGGCGTAACTTGAGAAGGCACTGGTCCAAAGACATGAGGCGGAGGTGGGATTCCGCTTGGTGGTGGAGGCATTGGAGGTAATGGTGGTTGACCTGGTAAGGGTTGAGGAATGGAAGTAGACGGTGATGTGGTCGATGAGGAATAATTTGTATACGTTGTTCCTTCATATTTAATTGCAACAGGCTCTTGTTTAACAAATCTTTTAGAATCCCCATTTTCTTCTCCTATCTGTAAAGAATACTATTTATATTTATGTCATTAATATGACATGAAATATTTATTACAATATAAAAATATATATAAAAAAAATAAAAAAATAAAAAAATTAATATACGATTCAACATTGTTCGTAATATAAAATTATCCTATTGATTTATTGACACAAGATCTTTATAAATTTAAAAAAGAGAGAGAGAGAGAGAGAGATTGTAAATAAAACATATTGCTTGCATTGGTTAGTTAGCTAGCCTTAAATAAAGAGGGGACGCACATATGATCACAAAAAACAATTAATATCAAATATTATAAATCATTACAAATATTTACCGATCGTTTCATTCTGTGGCTGTATTTTCTTTGTCTTCTTTTATTTTTTTCCCTTTCGTTCACCAAAAGATATTATATCTATATTAAAAACATTATTATTTAACACAAACACGTTTTATGAGGAATGGCCTGTGGAACAAATGAGAAAATGTGTTGCATATACAGGGGTACCAACCCCTAATAATATACACTATAATCAAGGGTTAATATGTGCGTTCCAAAAAAAAAGAGAAATATTAATTTCTAGGAAAAAAAATTATTTTAAAATATAACAAATGGTAATCGATAAAGCACGTGAAAATTATTATTATCTTACAGTTGATTTCTTTCGCAATTGTATTCAAATAAATAATTTTATTCATAAAAATTATGCACTTCTTATGCATATTTATGCAATCGAATATTGTTATCAAAATTAATAATAAAAAAATGATGTGTCAATATATATATGCAATAATTTTTCTTATCTCATATTATGATTTATATATCCTTATTTGTTTATCTTCCTTACTTTAGTTTTTTAAATGCCCGCTTAAAATGTGGCGCCAAAATCACATCGAAATGTCGGATTTAAAATGACTAATAGTATTAAAGAATTAAAGTGACATCAGTATTATTCATTTTATTAATTACCATCAGTACATTAAAGTTTTATAGTATTATTGAAAATATTTATCTATTTTAATGAAATCAAATATTTCACATTATCTATTTTTAAGATACATAGATAAGATATATACTTTCTACAAATTGTTCATTTGATTAGCTAGTTACTATACTCAGTTATCTTTGTTACGTTACTTGTATATTCATATGAATCGTCATGATTCTTGAACTAATCAACATAAAGCCTCAACGATAAATGAAAGTCAAATGCAATAATAAGTAGATAACATAAGTGCAGCAATAAATTAAATTCTTTCTTATTTTTTTAACTTAACTGACTTCATTTTACTAATTTCAACGATAAGACATTATTTATATTCAATTTCCGGTTCTGTGGCAGCAAAAGTATTACAGTATATATATATATATATACGTTTAATACGCAATATTGCTTACTTCTTGGACAAATATTATTAATAAGATTTTTTAAGAATACAATTAATTGCTTATACCGAAACAAGATAACTTTTTAATTTATTTTTTCCTTGTTGTCGAAATAATTATGGTAACTTTTTTATACAGTTAATGAATATATTGTATGGTAATTTTTACTTTAATATACCGTTTTCATCTATTCAGTGATAATACTACTGTCTCTAAATAACACACATTTGTACTTTGAACTTTAAAAATATTTCATTTCATCGTATATATAATTGTTGGTGATAAAGAGTTTTTAAAAGCCAACCTAACGTTTCAAGCGATTAATTTTCAGTAAGTGAACAAAAACTGTAAACGTCAAAATGTTGCTCAAAAAGGTGAATTTCAACATATTCAAATACATTTTTATTAATTTTATCTGTTTTTTTTTTTTTTTTTTTAAATATATTTCCCTTTTAAACTGTAAACGTCTGACATTTTTCTTTTTACAATATTGTTGAATTCATTTTCATTTCTAGATATTTAACAATGCCACTCTATATCCTAAAATAATCAGATCATTTTCCATTAAAACTGAACCTTTGGTGTCGGAAGGTGGTAATGGTTTTAACTTTGGTAAGTATGTTTGTCAAAGAGAAACATTTTTTTAAACTGATATTGCATTAGGTTTAATTCATCATTTTATTTATTTATGTAATCAGCGTTAAATGATACGCAAAAAGAGATGCAAGAATTGGCACGCAAATTTACCAGAGAAGAAATTATACCCGTGGCTGCTAAGTATGATAAAACTGGAGAATATCCATGGGATATTGTTAAAAAAGCTTGGAGTTTAGGATTGTTAAATGGTCATATTCCACATGACCTTGGTATGCTTTTATGTTATTGTAACACATGGATAGTTATTAAAGTTATTATAATATATTATTTACATTTAATTTAATTTGATATATAATTGGCGTATTTAGGTGGTTTGGAACAAAATATTTTTGATGGTTGCCTAATAGTAGAAGAAATTTCTTATGGTTGCTCAGGTATAGCAACTGCGATAGAAACTACTAGTCTTGGGGTATATAAGTATTGTAGATATTTTCTATATATGTACTATAATTGATGGTGCAAGTAAGCAGATCTTCATTCTACATGGAAAAATGAGTTAAAAATAGAGAATATAAAGTTTGTTTATATAATTCTTTTTATTTTGGAGTTTATATTTATCAAGTAAATATGCACACTTGTATCATTAATTATAGGACATCCTGTATATTAAAGATATTACAAGTTATTGATATAGATAATTATTTATTTCATATTTATTTAAAAATAGCAAACCCCAGTAATTGTAGCAGGAAATAAGGAACAACAGAAAAAATATCTTGGTAGACTTATGGAAGAACCTCTTGTGGCTGTAAGTAAAACAATGTAACATGATATATTTTATCGTCTTAATATTTTTGTCTACACGTTTAATGTTTCTAGGCCCTTTGTGTTACTGAACCTAGTGCTGGATCCGATGTAGCAGGTATAAAAACTAGAGCTGTAAAGAAAGGGAATGAATGGATACTTAATGGTACCAAAATGTGGATTACCAACGGTGGTGTTGCAAATTGGTATTTTTTAAACTATTAAAAATATAAATATATGTATATATATATGCATAAAGTAAGCATGTATCGTTTATATTAGGTACTATGTATTAGCGAGAACAAATCCTGATCCAAATGCTCCACCTAGCAAAGCTTTTACAGGATTTATTGTTGAACGTTCTTTCGATGGTGTAACTCCAGGTCGTAAGGTAAGTTTTTTAAAGATGTTACTTTTAATAATCACGCATTAAATTATATATTTATTAGAAAATTTCTTCTAAAGGAAATAAATATGGGACAACGAGCTTCCGATACAAGGATGATTACGTTTGAGGATGTTCGTGTACCGGAGGAAAACGTATTGCTAGGAGAAGGAGCTGGTTTTAAAATTACAATGAAAACTTTTGACAGAACACGTCCACCGGTAATATATACACATACACATGCGTGCACGCGTCTATACGTATACAATTATATATACAAATAGTAAAGGTGTTTTATGTATTGAAAGAAATTAACATATATTTATGATTAAACAGGTCGCAGCTTTGGCTACTGGAGTAGCACAAAGAGCTTTAGACGAAGCTACTAAGTATGCATTGGAACGAAAAACTTTTAACAAACCAATAGCTGAACATCAAGCTGTAGCATTTATGATCGCTGATATGGTTATTGGAGTCGAAACGTCTCGTCTCTCTTGGATGAAGGCAGCTTGGGCAATGGACTTAGGTTTGCCAAACGCTTCAGTTTATTCTAGCATCGCCAAATGTTATGCCGCCGATCTAGCTAACAAATCTGCTACCGATGCCGTTCAGGTAACTTGAAATCTTATTTTAATTATGTGTATATTATAAATCAAAACATATAATAATGTATAATACGAATTTGAACAGGTGTTTGGCGGTGCTGGATTTAATACGGAATATCCAGTGGAAAAATTAATGAGAGACGCCAAGATTTTCCAAATTTATGAAGGTACATCACAAATTCAAAGATTGATCATATCCAAAAACCACTTTGGTAAAGCTATGAAAAAATCATAAACAAAAGAAGAAAACGAAGAAATATTATTATTATTATTATTAGGAAGATTGGAAAATAATATATTTTTCTAAAATTGTTATTGTATAGCACTATATATATATATATATATATATACGTTAATTGTGAAAGAATTTTTATAAATATATATACATTTATATAACAATATCTTTGGAATAAAATATTATAGGAAAAAATAAATGAACATCAGTCGAAAAAAGGGGGGAAAGAAATATTTAAAATATAATTTGAATTTGGCGGTCGGGTTTTACAGATGGCGCAAGTAACGTTGCACGAAAGCGTTAGTCAAGTGCAATGTTCAATGAAAACGGATTACATCGTATTACGTCCGTCAAGCCATAGTTTTTACGCGGTTATATTTGGTGAAGTCGTGCGCGACGAGTTATGCAACGTTCGGTGTAAAAAGTCTTGTCGATAGGGCACTCGGATATCGTGACACCTGACCTACTTAGACAAAGCGGCTGTTTCTCTTGGAGAGCCATAACTCGAGGAGCTTGGAAAACGCTAAGGATACACGTTCAACGGCCTATCAATTCGAGGATTTGAAATCCTTAGGGGAACCAGGAAACATCGAACTAATCTTTCGCAAATTGCGTCTTTTCATATCACGTTCGAAGTTCAGTGCCGTCGTTAGGGATCACCGGCGCCCGGATAAGTTTAACTACACTCGGTCTAATTAATTTCTCTCTCTCTCTCCCTCGTTTTGCTTTTTTATTCCCCTCTTGATCCCACACAAGTTATATATATATATATATTGTATATATATATATATATATATACACACACATGCATAGTAAAGTCTATCTAACAACTAATAATGCTTTTTAAATGGAATGAAAATTAGATGAAAAAGAAAAACTTTCGTTCTCGATTAATACTATATACAAGTAGTAAGCAGACCGAGTAAGCAAGAGAGACTATCCTCACGACACAGAATCGCACGAGCAACAAGGTAGGTAGTCGGTTTACGGTTTCTCCGTCTCTCTTTGTACTCTATATGCCGATGGTTTTCCCTTTCGTTACGCACTACCGTAACCATGTATTGCGGAACCGCGAGCAAATTGGCTAACCTATTGGCAAGAATAATTTTCTGAACGAATTCAAAGAAATTTGACTCGTGTACGATACCAACTGCAGAACGAATCCTTTTAAACAAGCATAGATCGATCACGCGAACGATTGGTAATCGATAGAAAGGGAAAGTAATAATACTTGGATTATTTGTAGTAATTGGTTGGATAAAAGCTAAAAGAAAGAGAGTTATAAAAGGAATTAAATGATAAAGGTAACGATGATGATAATGATGTTGTTGGTTGAAACTAAGTCGAGGCACTTGACGGCTGTTAAGAGCGCCCCTAAGATAAATCCGTTTAAAGGGTACGGGCCTGTAGGTCGGTCGCGCTGTCAGAAGAGCGCGACGGTGCGCCGGACGCTCGCTTGACTAAGGGAGTGCCCGTCCCGATGCAAAGTGTAAGTGAAGTGGCCTACAGACCTACATTTCTCTAACGTTCCATTTTTTCAAGTTGGCCGAACAGGAGGTTAAGAATTCGCGCGGGTCACCATTTTATACGGACGCGTGCGATGTCTCCGTTGTGTGATACGTCGATCGGCTCTCGATAGATAGATAAAGAGAGAGAGAGTGAGAGAAAGAGAGAGAGAGAGCGCGAACAAGAGAAAAAACAAAAAAAAGAAAGAGAGAGAGAGAGAGAGGACACGGTGTAGCAGTTTCTTCTTTCGCCGTGGTACGTTCTGTCGGTGCTGCCGGGCGGCGCGGGGACAATTCAAAGAAAGAACGAGAGAAGGAACTAGCGAGAGCGAGAGTGAGAGCGAGAGTGACGACAAGGAGCGCGCGCGTCATTCAACCAGAAAGAGAAAGAACGAGACACACACACGGGTCGGCGGTGAGACGTAGAGGAGAAAAGTCGTGCGCGCGCGGGCGCGCTGCAATAAAAGAAAGAGAGAGTGAGTGAGAGAGAGAGAGGGAGAGGGTTAGAGAGGGAATAAACCGGTGTGCGAGAGAGCGAAAAGAGAGAAATAGATGCGCGTGTAGGTGCTCTTTTGAGAGCGAGAGCGCGCGCGCGCGCGCTCCAACTAAAAAGTGGGAGAGAGAGAAAGAAAACGAACGAAAGAGCGAACGAGATAGAAATAAATAAAGAAACAGAAAGAGAGAGAAAGAGAGAAGGCAGAAAATAAAAGAAAAGAAAAGAAAAGAAAAGAGCAAGTGCTTGCGTGCGTGCGTCCAACGTGCGTACGTACGTGCGTATGTGCGTCCTCCGTGCGTGCGTGCGTGCGTACGGTGGTGGAGAAGGCGAAGAAGAAGAGAAAAAGAAGAAAAGAAGAAAAAGAAGAAGAAGAAGACGAAGAAGAAGGTGTCTTTGAAGGGGGAGGGTGCCTCGTTCGTTCGTTCGTTCGTTCGTTCCGTTCGTCTGTCCCGCCGTCCATCTGTCCGTTTGCCTGTCCGTCGTTCCCTCGTTCATAGGAATGCACGACGGTCGAATGGCTACAGGTTCAGGGGAAGGTAGTAGGGCCGCCGGAGGGGGGCCCGTACCACCTCTGGAAAACAATTCAACTGCGACAACTACCCTTACGGAATCGTCCACCTCCTCCCCACCCTCGGTTGCTCCCTCTTCTTCTTCCTCTACCTCATCTTCTAGCTCCTCCTCGTCCACTGCGAATACCCCTGCCGCGATCTTGACGGAGAATCACGCGAATGTTACGAGTAATTTGCCATTGACCACGGGATCCCAACAACCTCAACAAACTATTCATCAACAACAACAACAACAATCGCAACAAGAACAACAACAACAACAGCAAGATCAACAACAGCAGCAATCGTGTATCAGGCTCGATCTGCTCGACGATTTATCCGGCAATGATGCTTCAGGTACGATCACGCATTGATTCAGCACTCCACTTTAAATGCTCTCTTTTTTTTCTCTCAGTTTTTTTTTTCCTTTCTACTAGCTTTTCTTTTTCTTCTATTGCTTGTGCTTTTGTTCAACCCTTTTTCTTTATTCTATCTTTTCCATGCTCTGCTTTCGAATCTCTTGGAATCTCTACTTTTTTTTATCTACCTTTTTATTTACCTCTTCCCCTTTGTCATATTTCCCATCCCATCCCCTACTCTACCTTCCCCTGTCTTTTTCTTTCATCCCCTTTTTTTTCTTATATGGGTTTTCTCTATTGCACGTGCACCTTTCCTACCAAGAGGGAACGAAACGTAGCGATCATACAATGCACTTGATCGTTTTGTTTTCAAATGAATTGAGTGACGTGATATCTATTCCGTACCTACCTTTGAAATGAGAACAGGTGCCATATGAACGAGGAAATCTATGAGAATAGATCACCCTCCACCCTGTGAAACGGGGGAATAATCTACTTGTTTTTTATGATTTTCAGGAAAACACAAGTATTAGTAATTTTATACTTTTACTTATTAGCTTTACGTATTGTATATTTATGCACTATCTTTGTATAATGTTTAAAACTTAGGATATCATTTTCAAATATTTTCATCGAGGGAAACTAAAAGAACTGAAAATGTCTCATGAAAATTTGGATATAATAATAAAAAGTATACCTTGGTATGTCCACTGTAATAGGACGATTTCTTAAGGGTTGTTTGGTTGTATCAAAATTGTTAAAAAGTTTCAATACAAAATCAAAATACAATGGAGTATTTTGCAATGGTATGAAGATGTTATACTAATGGATTCGATGTAGGTGATTCGATGATAATGGAAATTATTTTTTGAAATAAAATTTCTACAAAAAATCGTACCTATTGTATATACATTTTCCAAAAATTAAAAATACTTTTTACAAAGTATTTTATATTTCGCGCCATTAAAATATTCGGATAGAATACTTCGCGAACGACGACGTTTGGCGTCGCGTCGATCGGTTAAGACGCAACAGGCGTTTTCAATTAAATTTCAAAGTGGAATTGCTTTCAGAGCATGATTCTACTATGGTTGTCCTCAATTTGGAAAGAAGCTTTGAAAGCGTGTCTCTTCGAGAAGAATGCTCATACACGTTTGTAACAACCCCCCAGAAATTCTGAGAAAATAACATTCCTTGCTTTTTATTTTGTTTCATAAAAGCAACGTGAACAACGTTCTTTAACTTATTCTTGTTCGTATCATCCCTCCTATTTCCTTTTTCTTCTTTTTGGAGAACACAATGATGCATAGTTAATTGGAAAAACATTTTGAATTTTATTTCTAACTTCGAAAAAACTTTACAGTCAATAGAAATGTTAGTTTCGTTCTATCACCTCTTCCAAAACGGAAAGACTAACATAGCAAGAAGGGGAGAGGATCATTCGGTCCCTAAATGTTTCCGAACAGAAACCCTCTATTCACATAAAAAATCTTTTCGTAAGCGTGCTGGCGCGTGCCAGACGAGAACCGTTTTCCACTAATATCCTTGAAGGACAAAGTTCCTTTCAGTCCCGTTCAAAGAAACTCCAACAATACGGATAGAGTCAACATGTACTTGATGCATCAAATAGGAACACTTGTTGAGTCCCTTTTTTCCAAAGTGTCGTAATTTTTCTTTTAGAATTGTTCGTTCTTTAAATATGTCATGTCCTGCGTAACTATTCAACAGCTACCCCCTGCTATTACCACCAACATAGAATTCAAGCTCTAAATTTGAAGCATTTGTATTCACATTTGATTTATTTCAAGTCTAGGATATTATAAATCTACTTTCACTTTGTCCGAACAGAATCTATTAGAATGATAATCATTGTATCGATCATTTTTCATAAATAAAATGAAAAATAGCTCCAATAGAATTTATTTAAACATCTGAAAAAAGTTTATTTATTTCTATTCCAATTCGTCCGTATTTCAATATCCTTTTTAACATCAAAATGTTAGAGTGCATATTTGTAATAGGGTGTATCTTATTTACGAGTGAAACTAGGACAAAATTGATGGTAGAAATAGTTGTCAAATATTTTATTCAATTTCTACTATTTGTTCTTCTATTATACGAGGATTCAAGTATCGTTCCGTCCTAACTCTCGCCAGGAGATTTTTTTTTATAAAGAATCTTTACAAGGAACTATTGTGAACATTTCGACGGACTGGTATCACGTGGATACTTTAAGGGACATCATAGAAAAAAAAAGAAGAAATAAAAAGACGACACGCGTTCATGATATATAGTACGAGCCTTCTTCTTTCTCCGGCTCTCAGTTGAGCATGATTACAAAGCATTTGCGTGGCTCTCTGTGTGTCTTTTATAAAGTACATACACTCCCACGCGACGTTAAGACGGTCGACGGGTCGTTTCTCGTCGACTGCGGTCGCTATTGAATAGCTTGACCCACTTTGATAAAGTCGCATTGGAATAACTCAATAACACCAAGCCCAGCCAACAACAATAATTATTATTCAATGTTCTCAGCACGCTGAACACTGGTGATATCGATGCACGTGCCAATTTATCAGACCATGAGCCTAGAAACTACATTTTCTTTATCGTTAACTACTATTAGTAACTACTATGCGAATTTTACATGTATTCTTTTTTATTATTAACGTTTCTTTGCTCACACAAGCTCGAGAATAGTTAATAATTCGTTAATAATAGAAAAGATCATGAATATGGATATAAAGGATGAAAAAAAAAAAGGGAAAGCGTTATTGATCATTAATTTAACGATTATATCATCGCAATCTCTGTTTTTTATTTGTATTTTATCGACTGCTCATGCTTCCCCTGCCCTCCCCCCTAGCCATTCTTTTTTTAATGATCTTTCTGGATCCTTTTCCGTGTTGCTAAGATCTCTCAATCGAAGTCGGCTAAAGTTTGCCAGATTCGCCGCGACATGGCGCTGATAATCAATCTTTCTTTCTTTCTTTCGTTGTACTTCAAACCTAATCTCGATTGGCGCGCGCTTTTGCGGCCGATTTAAATGTCTACTTGCTGTGTACTGTTTGAAAACTGCTAAAGTTAAATACATGGACGATTCTCTAACGACAACGACGTTCCTCGTACCAGTTATGATGAATTCGATTGGGTAATACAGGCGTAGAGTACCGAGGGACGAGAAGTGACGCCACGGGACACGGTCTGTGGTTTTTAATACGCGTCCTACTTTCCGCTATCTTTCCCGCAAAGAGCAGAGCGCGCGCAGAACCAACAGTAACAGCAACACCAGAGGAGACCAAAACCAACGACGAAGACGAAGCTAAAGACCAAACAGGAGAAAGAAAAAGAGAGAAAAAGAGAGTGGGGTTCCAGGGGGTTACAGTGCCTGGATTATACTCTCCACCTCCCACCCTCTTCTCTCTTTCTCTTTCTTTTCACATATACTTGCTCTTCTCTTTCTCGCAATAACGAGACACAAAGACAACGACGACGTAATGTGTTGGAGGAGTGTGACGTGATTGGCGCGTGTCGCCATCAGTGTGTTGTTGCTGGTGCAGAATGCCTATGAGCTTATTGCATGCATGTATATGTGTGTATTTAACTCTAAAGAGTTAAAGAGAGAGAGAGAAAGAGAGAGAGATAGAGCGCGTGTGCGCGCATGCGTACACGCGCTAAAAGAGACGCGAGATAACGACGACGTGGCGAGTAGCCACCACTACCACCACAACCATCGCCGTCACCGTGGTTAGAAGGACTGAAATTGAAAGTGCTCGTCCCACTGGCCCACTGACCTGATTACCCACTGACAATGGCACGAATCCCGTGCGCCGCGCAAACCTCTCCCCGTTGCTCCCTCCCTCTCTCTCTCCCTTCGTCCTCCTCATTCCTCTCCTTCTTACTATCGCGACGCAAGCGTCGTCTACGCGTCGTCGTTGTCTACTTGCATCTATTTCTCTTTTGCTACCCACCTAAGTTGTACTAGTGGTAGTAGTAGTATTCTCATAATATATAATTTTGATCTCTCGAAGATGGAACAGAGAGAAACTAGCCCAAAAAAAAGAAATAATGAAATAGAAGAGAAAGGGAAAGGGAGAAACTTACGTTACACTTTCGTTTTACTAACGTACACTTTCTCCAAACGGTAGATTTTTCTTTCGGCAAAAATTCTCTGACGCAACTATTTCGAAAGAGGTAGGGTAGTACTCACGGGTCAGACCCGACGTGTATGAGGAAAGAAAAGAAAATAAAAGAAAATGAAAAAGAAATAAAAGGCATCGAAGATTATTTAAACCAGGAGTGCCTTTAGGTTCGAAAGGTTTCTCTTTTAAAAGGTAAAAGAAATATATTATCTGGTAGTACGATATAACCGAGGATATCATTATACTTCAGTTCGAATTTAAATACATTGTGTTCTTCCCTTAGAAACAATGGTTCAGTCGCGTCAGTAAGATTGGTGTCCGTTCCAGTTTGGTCCCCTCAGGGGCCCTCTTTTCTCTCTTACTTTTCGTTTCTGGCTAACTCGTGATTTCGTGGTTGCTACTCGGCCGACCAGAGCCAAACAAACGACGACTACTTCACTCTCGCTTTCGTCGCCATGCTGAAAGTGCTTTCGGCTTATGGCTTTCGCAACATTTTTCCCAAGCCGATTGGTTTTGTCCAAGCGCGCGCTCTCTCACGTACACCTTTGATCGCTGTTACTGTTGGTTGTTGGTGGTTGTTACTTGGTATTGGTACTGGTATATTTCTCCTTTCCTCTTTCTCCTCTTGGAGAGTTTGCATTCGTGTTCCTTCGCTCGGCTGGCTTTGCTCTTTTCCCCAAGTGTGCGCGCGTGAACAAACCGAGGGGAGAGACTCTCGCGCCCGCCTACTTTCGCTAGTTTGCGTAAGAAACGTATACGTATTCGGTTAGCTAACGATTCTCCTCTGGCCCCAACACAAACAACACATCTTTCGTACCTTCTTATATCTTCTATGGACCGACCAATTTCGGTCATCTTTTCGGATCAGTCCATTTTTATTCTTTTTCATCATCATCATCTTCTTCTTCTTCTTATACTCCCCCGTACTTAACGTTCAACTCTTTTGTTATCTACAATGATCATTATGATTCATTATTATGATGATTTAGTAGAGACTAAATTATCTATTAAGATCTCACAAATCCTATACTTGCTTTTTAATTATCCTTTCAATTCGTTATGTAATAACTTACGCCAATGGTCGAAAGGTTAAGTCACACACAGTTATTCGTTATTAGATGCTACTAGCCCTCCTATTATTCGCACATTAAGTAACGCAAGTCAACGCGTTAGGTTACGCCATGTTAGGAGTCTAAAGTATCTCTCTTGAATGTTTTAAACGCGTTAGAATTTCAAATATATCAAATGGGCTTTAGTATATATTCTGGGTAAAATACGTAAACGGTTGAATCTTCATCTAGCAACTATTACTATTACTATTACTACTACTATTATTGCTGTTGCTGTTGCTGGCTGGCTGCTGCTACTTTGTGACGTAACTAACGCACATCCTTTACCCTGTACATACAATCGGGATATATTCTACATGACGAAACCATCGAAACTTTCTCGAGGGTGGAGGAGGAGTGGTGATGGTAAAACTTACTTGTGGCCCGATCTCCTCCTCCTCCTYCTACCTTCACCTCCACCTCCACAGTCCCCTCTTTTTCGACGAGTAATTTTCGGTCCTAACTTATACGTGCTCGTCGAAAGTGAAATCGAGAATGTTGATGCGCGCGCATAAGCGCGGAAACTTTCAAATTGTATTTAATGATGAATGAATTTGTATTTTATATTGATCTATTAAATATCATTGTTTTTTTTTTTTTTTTTTTATTTGGAATAATTAAATGTGGATCATTTGATATTGGATTTAATATTAAATCAAATAATTTTGTATATTAATTACAATTAGGATAGTCATTTTATTCGATTGATTTTTAAGGTTATTTTGAAAGAAAATATAAGAACGATATTATATTGTAGATAACAAATATTTATTCTTATTTATTATTTATTCATGTAAGAGATAATTAATTGAATTGTTGTTAAATTAATTTAGTTTTTGGTTTGTTTGCAATATCTTTTTCCGTATGCTCGACCGATTCTTCCCGTCTCGAAAATCGAAGGACAATTCATGATTGGTTATACGACCTCGTGTAATCGTCAGACATTTTCCGTATACGTTGCCATTGCATTGCGTTGATACTTTAAGTTTAAAAGAATGAAGTTAAGTAAAGTTAAGTTTGAGCCGCGTTTGATATCTGCTGTGTTGTATTGCGTTGCGTTGCGTTGCACGTACGTGCACGCTTAAAATACACCACGCACTATCACCCCATCCATTCCATTTCGATGGAGGTCACCCGGTAGCTTAAGTGGGTCTCGACCACTTGGTTAGTGTGTCATGGCATACACGTTACTGTATAAACTTAATTTCAATAGCAACGTTAATAAGACTCGAACGTGGCTGCTGAAGTAAAAGAAAAGGAAAAGGAAGAGAAAAGGGGAGGACAAAAAAAAATTATCAAAAAAAGAGTGGGAGGGGGGTAAGAAAAATAAATAAATAAATAAATGCATTGATATAATACCTCCATCTTTTTTTTTTTTTATCTTTCCAATTATTTTTATTCTTTTTTTTGTTTTAAACATTGATTGACGAGCGACACTCTGTATTCACCATTTAGCAAACAACATTTCGTGTTTATCCATTTATTTTTATATATATTTCTTTCTCTCTCTCTTTTATTTCATCACCTTGCAATGCTTATGCGTTATCGATCCGAGGGACGGAAAATTCTACCGTTAATCTTCCAGTCTCTCCTCCTCCTCCTCCTCTTCCTCCTCCTCCTTCTCCTTTTACTTTGCACTCTGAGATATCTTCTTCTTCTTCTTTCTTTTTATTCAAAGATGCAACCTAATTTCATGACCTAGGACACGAGAAAACTCGACAAACTTATCATATACACACATGCGTACCAACATACTCTCTCTCTCTCTCTCTCTCTTTTTATTTTTACATTACCCTTTTGATATTCATATATACATAAGTAAACGTAATTTGAATATTTAAACTTGACAAAATACAAATCGTAAGGTAATCAAAATTTATATTCGAAGTTTCTCTCTTTATGGCTTGCCATTCAAACAAAAACGAAAAAAAAAAAAAAATTAAAGAAGAATAATAATTAATTAATCAAGCATGGTAACAAGCAAAAAAACAAAACGAACAATGTGTAACCAAAACGAGGATTGAAAGTGTTAAGAAATCATTTTTTTCATTGAATACTTAAAGGGGGAAATAATAGAACAAAAGTGAAGAATACGGGATTTACGTTCTTAGGTGGGAAGAAACTGAAAGGGGAGGGAGGGAGAGGGAGAGCGGCGAGGGGAAGGGGTTATGAGCATGGACAAGTATGGGTATGGACAAAAGTGTTAGGTGGGACGGGGAGGTAAAAGCAATGAGAGAGAGAGAGAGAGAGAGACGTCGTATTACCATTGGATAAGAAATGTGTGTCTAGTTTAGTGGGCAAGTAGGTCGCAAGGGAAACCAACCTGAGTTACGCAACTCAGTTCCAGTGTTATACAACTATTGACTCACCGGATTAACAAGTAGGCTGGGTGAAAACGAAAGCTGAGCAGCACCAGCACCAGCAGCAACGTTGTCCGGGCTTATTTCTTTCTCTCTCTCTCTCTCTCTTTACTTTACTCCCCCTCCTAACCCCCACCCTATCATTACCCCTCACTTCTCTGTACCCTTTTCCTTTTCTTGTACGCGTACAATCTTTCTTTTTTTCTTACTCGATTCACTCTCACCTGTCCTGTCAGAATGTTGCGAATAGGGGAGGAAGAGGGGAAAGAGGGGATGATCAGGAGGTGGGGATGAAGAGGATGATTTTACGTGCAAATTATGTTTATTGTTAATTCATAAATGGCACATAAATGGCATCGATAGAAGATCATAATCGTCATCGTTGTAATAATTGATAGCAAGTTAAGTCGGTTAATCTGTTTTTTCTTTATTTTCTTTTTTTTCTTTTTTTTTCAAGTGCGTCCCCATTTACACCCCTATCCATTATTATTTCTTTCGTTCTATTAGGTTAAATTATATATTATTATTATTATTATATATAAAATAATAATATAAATATTATTATAATATATTTTTATATTAATTATAAATTTACACCTTTCTTTTACTATTGGGTTGGCAAGTAAATGATTGCGGATTTTGTCGATAGATGGACTTTTAACACGTTGTACGCCACGCTCATTTTCAAGGAAGTTCTCGTCAGGCCACAGGCGTTACTTTGTATTGAAAAAATAGTTGAACGTGTCAGTCACCGGTGACTGACGCGGCCTAAGCGAGAAATCTAATGTCAGTCACCGGTGACGGACGCGGCCTAAACGGAAAGTCTAATGTCAGTCACCGATGACTGACGTGGCGCTCAACGTGTTAAAATCAGCAATAACTTAGTTGCCAACTCAATACTTTGTTTTCGTTTCATTGTCGTTTAACAGTAAAACTTATGAGAGTGTGTGTGTGAGAGAGAGAGAGAGAGAGAGAGAGAGATAATAGGTGAGGGATTATCAGAAAAAAAGAAAAATCCAACTGTTTTATTGTACGCTCAAGTAGAGTAGTATCGGTTTGCGCGTAAAAAAGAAGTAGGCCACTCGACAACGACAACGACAACGACGACAACGACGACAACGACGACGATGACGACGATGACGACGAGGAGGCGAGCTTCTTTGGCAAAGAGGCGCTCGCGAGTTAAACGAAACGTGCAAATGGCGACGCACAAATCACCGAGAGAGTCTACTCCGATAGCTCGGAAATTTTCAACGCCAGAGAAACAGAGAAAGAAAGAAAAACAGAGAAAGAAAGGAAAGAGAGAGAGAGAGAGAGAGAGAGAGAGAGAATCTGACCCAGATAAAATGAAATTACGAAATCGCATGTACTACGAAGCACCGAAGCGTATCGAGAGAGAGAAAGAAAGAAAAAGATTCGCAAAGCAACCCCTTACGTTTAAAAAAAAAACACACACACACACACATACAAAATAAACCATCCAATAGAAAATTAAGAAAAAGAAAAAAAAAGAATACCGTTCCGCAATTGTCTATCTATTTATCTATCTATCTATCTATCTATCTATCTATCTATCTTTATCTACTTCTAACTCTGTTTTCATGTAGAAACGTTTAGAAATTCTTCCTTCGTTTTAAACGCGATCGAAGATATCTGACCCCCTTTTTAGGTGGAATCCGATGAAAAAGAAAAAAAGAACAGCGATTAGAAGGATAAAAAAAGAAAAAGAAAAGGAAGTAAGGAAGAAAGAATTAAAGAAAAGAAAAGAAAAGAAAAGAAAAGAAAGAAAAGAGGGTAAAATGAGGTTAAGAATGAAGAGCGGGAAAAAGAAAATAAGCTACCGCAACAGTTTTCTACTCCTAGGCGTATACCACCACCCCTAGCGATAAGTGGTGGTGGTGGGGGAGGGGTGGAGTAGTRTGTGGTGCGGACAGCGAATCAATAGCGGTGACATAGTTACCGAGTAAACCTGGCCCAGTTTTCAATACCGACCTCATTCTTCTTTTCTTTTTTCCTTTTCTTTCCCTTCAGACAATTTTTCCAAGAATTTTCTTTACCACCCTCTATCCCTTATCCCTTTCCTACCTTGAATAATCACCTGTACGTTAGTACAAACTTAAACAGAACGTCAATGATATTCTGGTATATTTGATAAGAAACGTTTTGTTGATAAATGACGTGTATTGTATTATGCTTTTTATATTTGAATCATTTTCAACAGTGACGTATTTAAAGGTAAATGCCTTAAAAAAAGTACGTGGGAGGTGTGTGTGTATGTGTATAGGACGATAAAGGGAAAGAAGACAGTTCGATATCGACGCAAATAGTTCTGTCGCAGTAGTAGCTAGCTAGTCGACCTTGGGGTCACTTATCAACCGACATGAAATGCAGCTGACGACGCAGCACGAGCACCACATACTACTACTAACCGTTATTACTACCCTACCTGTTTTGAATAATTTCGCGAATAATGATCTATGCTAAGCTATATCCAAAGTAGGGAGTGAGAAAGAAAAAAAACAGACAAGAAAATAACGTGTAGTATAATAATAATAATAATAATAATAATAATAGTAATAATAATAAATATAGTTAACACTTGGAATATCGAATTTATATTACAATGCGTGCCATTATCGTACCAAATGAAAGAGTCAACGTGGTTTGTTCAAGAAAAATGTTAAATTTTGGCTCTTCATCAAAAAATGCAGCATATCAATGACGTTGAAAGATTAATGATTCTTATGGGGGAAGGAGAAGATCATTTGTATGCCGTCATGATGATCGTGCGCCGGTGCAGATCATTGTGAGATCAAATGAAGAGCGTTCGTTCTGAAGAGAAACCTCACGCAGAGTGACGAGACGTGACGAGCCTTTTCACTCGTCAAACGACCGCCAGAGTGCCAAGCTCTCCAAGCTTCTTCTTCTTCTTCTTCTTCTTTCAATGAGAAATACCGACACCAACGATAACGACAACAGCAACAACAGCAGCAGCAGCACGCTTCTCTCTGCTAGGAACAGAGAAGTGTGTCAAGGGCAGAGAGCTAGCAGGGCACCGGTCCGTGACGAACCGAAACGAAACGAAACGAAACGAAAGAGAGAACCGAGAGTTTTACCTGCTCGATCCACGTACCTCCTGCTCGATCCACGTACCTCCTCCTCCTCTCGTCATCATCATCTCTCTCTCTCTCTCTCTCTCTCTCTCTCTCTCTCTCTCTCTCTCTCCTCTTTCTCCTCCTCATCTCTCGATTGCATTGCATATCTCCTTGCGCTACAAATACACTCGTAACGTACGTCTCGAGTATGTCAACGATCAAGGACAACAGACCCACCACTACCACCATCATCATATCATCACCACCACCACTACCACCATTACCGATTACCATTTCCATTACCAGTACCAATAATATTCTTCTCAACGTGTTTATTGCCGATGAAATCTCAAATGTACTTTACTTTCTTTTATTCACCACCCACCCATGAATATAATTTGTCTGTCTGTCTCTCTCTCTCTCTCTCTCTCTCTCTCTATCTCTCTCTTTCTTCAAAGTTTCTTTCCTTGTCTTCTTTATATACGCCGACATTTGAAAATCAGATTGAACCGCGCAACCTCCAACCCCGGCCAGGAATTTGGATCAAGGAGGGCTCTGCGCGTCGAGCGTGACGCCTTTATGGGTCTTACACACGAAACGCGTCTTGCGAACTCGCACGCGGTATACTCGTGGAACGTTTCATTTCTAAGTATATGTATTTGTGTACTTATATATATATATATCCTGACTTCGATCTACATATATATATGTATAAACCTTTTCGTATGCAAGCAAGAAGGAGCCTTCACGCAGTAGCGTAACGCTTTAGCGTGCAGAAACTGTATCGATTATGGGTCAGTTGAGATAGGTGAGCTAGCCGGAGATTAGCTTATAATAGACTTTTCTTCGTATAAACGCGCGAGGCCATATATGAAGTAGCTGCATAAGTTAGAAAGAGAAAGAAAGAAAGAAAGAAAGAAAGAAAAGAAAGAAAGAAAGAGAGACTGGACAAAGTGGGTTCTCCAACTCTGTAACTTTATATACATCTCTCGTAAAGTATCTATCTACTACTTCACATCATTGTTATCTATATAAATGTATAGACTACAACACATTAGCATAATATACTTTAACGAGGTTGGAAAGAGTATTATCATTCATGAGTTTTACTTAAATAGGTGACAAATTCTCGTTTGGGTGATATGCGATTTTTAGTTAACTTAAATTTAAAATCAAAAATTATTATTATTATTATTATTAATTGGTATTAGAAACTCGGAAGTTTATTGCTGCAAATATCAAATCCCGCCAGTGTTCACCGTACCTGAGCGCGACCCCTTCATTAGGGGTTTTATAAATATTATATATATTATTTAATTTATAAAATTTATAAATTTAATTTAACATGGAAGGGTTCAAGGATAAAGTAGAGTCCATCCTACCTTTGATAACAAAAAATAATAGCTACACGAATTAAGAACTACTTAAGAATACTATTAACAATTACAGTCTTATTAATTAACAAAAAAAGAAACGTAGAACAAATTAAAAATAATTAGTTATATCAACCTGTCTGTAATAATAATAATAATAATAACAATATTAATGAGATTTAAAAAAGTATGAGAGGAAAAGAGAGGAGGAATTGGGACGACAGTGATATGTGCGACACCAAACCTCTACTAAAGGCTAAGTTATGTTCTTAAGTTCTCATTTTTTTTTTCTTTCTTTCTTGTAGTTGTTACGACGAGTAATAACAACGCGAGTAAAAGATAGAAAGAAAGGAATACAATAAAAGAGAGAGAGAGAGAGAGAGAGAGTAACGTAGCTAACTAAACATGCTGGTTGTGACTGGCTGGCTGACTAGCTCTGGCAAGTTGGCAGCAACTTGACTGGTTGGTTGAGTTCATCGAAGCGAGACATCTTGTCTCGAGTAGTATTAGAGATATGTATGCATGTTACTCTACTCGCGTGCACACGTTCCGTGTTGGGCGCCATTCTTCGGCAAATCGTCCTACCAAAGGAAAGACACCTTACATTCTAACTTGGGGGGGTCTACTCTTCCGGTACAACATACAACACCTTGTTCCTTAAACTTATTCTAAACAGAAAGAAGAAGAACAAGGACGTGTACTTGTTTTTTCTTTTTGTTTTTTTTTTTCTTTTAAATGCCATCGATCTTTTTTCTTTTTTTTTTTTTTTTTTTATGAATCTTCACTTCAAGTTACGTCATCGTAATATTAATGAACATGATGATTGTTATTAAAAGATGTGATTACATGACATACAAAAAATATCCTATTAAGAACGATGACAATATAACAATAATAATAATAATAATAATAATAATAATAATAATAATAATAATAATAATAATAATAATGATAATGATACTTTCCCTTTTGTCGTTTTCTTTGTCA